TATGGGGTAGTTGAGGTACCTTTTATGATGTAATTAAAGAAAAATTTGCAAATTTCCATTTTGATTTTTTGAGGGAATTTTTTCATTAGGGCTGTCCATGTTTTCTCGATTTTGACATTTCAAACAGCCATAACTTGAAAATTATGAGCCGTAGAGAAAAACTTTTCGTATAAAAATTGTAGCTCTCAATTTATACTACAAAATTGCTATTTAAGTTTTTCCTCTACGACCTACTGTTTTTGAGTTATTTGAGCTTGAACCTTTCTTAAAATTTAATTTGAAATTTCAAATTTGAGGTTCAATAACTCTGGAACGGTAATAATGATAAATATTAAAAAAGAAGTCATTTTGTAGGTGATTCAATCCTCTTTGGAATGAAACTTTATTCATACAAATCAATCCAGGCGTTATGGCTGATTTAGTGGGGCCATGTCACGTTGATAAATTCCAAATACAATTTTGGAATTTCGTTCTCGAATTTTTTCCGAGCTTAGGAGGTCTCAAACGAAAAAATACCAAGAGGTATTTTCGCCCTTCTATCCAAGCTTGATTTTTCCATTTAAAAGCCGGAAAAGTCACGGAACATCGGAAAATTAAGGGAAAAAAAGTTGGTTTTAGGACTTTTTGGGATTCTTTCTATAAAATGGCTATTTTAAAATTCCAAACTTCCGACTTTGGTTTTTGGCCTTATACCTACAACCCAGGAAATTCTGAAAATTTCGTAAATTGAAACTTCAACCGGCCATAGCTCAGTAACGGTAAGTCCTAGATGGAAACTCTTTAAAAGCAGATTGTAGAGCGATTGTAGAGCTCATCGAGATCTAAAAACAGCTCATCGAGTCTTACCTCTACTACCTCTCATTTTCGAGATATTCCACTTGGAAGTTTTAAAATTCTTGGGTTCCTTACTTTTTTTTCAACCAAAAATTCAAACTCTAAATTTCCCAAATTTTCTTGGAGTCGGAACCAACTTTTCTCCTCTTAATTTCCCGCTTTCCCAGGAGTTTTCGGCCCTCTTCCATACCCCACAAAATGGAAAATCGAAATTTTCCGAATTTTGGAAAAACAAAAATTCCACCATATAGAGGAGGTTAAAACAAGCAGAAAATCTATTTGGTATTTTCCCATAGGACGTCTCCTAAGCCTAGAAAAAAATAAAAAAGAAAATCCATAGGGAATAAGGCTTCTCCAGCCTGACATGGTCCTATTAAATCTGCCATAACTCTGAAACGCCTGGACCGATTTCAATTATGTTCCATTCGATAGAGGATTAAATTGCATACAAAGTGAATCCATTCAAAATTTATCCCGTTTTCAAGTTATGCATGCGCCTTTAAAGTTGAAATTTCCTCAATTTTTAAAATTTAATGCAAAAAGTATATTTCTTAGGGAAAATTTTCAAAAAAATCGATTTATGGAATAGTTGAGATTCCTTTTAAAATGTAATTGAAGAAAAATTTGCAAATTTCCATTTTGATTTTTTGAGGGAATTTATTCATTAGGGTTTGATCCATGTTTTTTGGATTTTGACATTTTAAACAACCATAACTCGAAAATTATGAGTCGTAGAGAAAAACTTTTTATATGAAAATTGTAGCTTTCAATGTATACTATACAAAATTGCAATATGAGTTTTTCCTCTACGACTTACCGTTTTTGAGTTATTCGAGTTTGAAGCTTTCTTAAAATTTATCTTGTTTTCAAGTTATGAGCCTTTAAAGTTGAAATTTCCTCAATTTTTCAAATTTAATGAAAAAAGTATATTTATTAGGGAAAATTTCCAAAAAAAAATCGATTTATGGGATTTTTGGGGTTCCTTTTATAATGTAATTAAAGAAAAATTTGCAAATTATCATTTTAATTTTTTGAGTGAATTTTTTCATTAGGGTTTGGTCCATGTTTTTTGGATTTTGAAATTTCAAACAGCCATAACTTGAAAATTAAGAGTCGTAGAGAAAAACTTTTTAGATAAAAATTATAGCTCTCAATGTATACTACAAAATTCCTATTTAAATTTTTCCTCTACAACTTACCGGTTTTGAGTTACTTGAGTTTGAAGCTTTCTTAAAATTTTAGTTGAAATTTCAACTTTGAGGCTCAATAACTCTGGAACAGTGATAATTATTGATATTGAAAATGATAAAACCTTACTCATACAAATCAATCCCGTTCCAGAGTTAGGGCTGATTTAGTGGGGCCATGTAAAGTTGATAAATCCCAAATGCAATTTTGGAATTTCGTTCTCGAATTTTTTCCGAGCTTAGGAGGTCTCAAACGAAAAAATGGCAAGAGGTATTTTTGCTTTATTTTAGCTCACTCTACCCAAAAAAATATTATTTTCCCAAAATTTTGATGTTTGATTTTTCCATTTGAAAGCCGGAAAAGTCATGGAAAATCGGAAAATAAGGGGAAAAAAAATTTGGTTAAAGGACTTTTTGGGAACCTTTCTATGAAATGGCTATCTTGAAATTCCAAACTTCCGACTTTGGTTTTTGGCCTTATACCTACAACAAAGGAAATTCTGAATGACGAAAATTGAAACTTCAACCAGCCATAGCTCCGTAACGGTAAGTCCACGGGGGAAACTCTTCGAAAGCAGATTGGAGTGGAGATCTACAAAACAGCTCATCGAGTCTTACCTCTACGACTTCCCATTTCCGAGATATTATTCCACTTGGAAGTTTTAAAATCCTTCCTTTTTTTACCAAAAAATCAAAATCAAAATTTCCCAAATTTTCTTTGAGTACGAGAGAAGGTCCAGAGAAATGTCGGAACCTACTTTTCCCCTCTTGATTTCCCGCTTTCCCATGAGTTTTTGGCCCTCTTCTATACCCTACAAAATCGAAAATCGAAATTTTTCGCTGGATAGAGGAGATCAAAACAAGCAGAAAAGCTATTTGGCATTTTCCCTTAGGACGTTTCCTAAGCCTGGAAAACTTTTTAAAAAAATCCATGGAAGGGGGCTTTTCCAGCCTGACTTGATCTCAGTAAATCGGCCATAATTCTGGAACGCCTGAATCGATTTCAATGAATCATATTCCATTCGATAGAGAATTAAGTTTTCTACATAACAATTTTATCCAGAATTTCCAGCTTTTTCCAGTTTCCATCTCTACCAGATTAAAAAGTTTCTGCTGATGGCTGAAAACCGCAGCAGAATATATTATCAAGGAATTTGTTTTTAATGTATGAAGGAAACTTGGAAACTGTAAAAACATGAACTTGTAGCTTGACTCGAATCAACTTGCTTATTCTGATGTGTAGATTGATATGAGTCAACTTCATTCTTGAGGATTGTCAGGGATTGTGAGTTGTGAAGAGAAGATTGAAAAATTACTTCTAAAGATAGGTATAGTTGTTCATCTTTAGCCAACTAGCAAAACAGTCAGAATTCGCATATACTGGCAGGAAGAGACGTGAATAGCTAGTGGATAAAATTGCAAGCAAGGCAAAAAAAGGATCAGTCGGACTCTCCAAATTCAAAAAAAAAACGACAACAAAACATTTATCAGAAGAAGCAGTCTTCTTTTTCTTCTTCTTTTTTCAAGAGCAAGGATCGTTCCAATAGATCCATGAGCGGAAACCGTTCGTTTCAGTTGTCCAAGAGAGGCAAAAAAGATGTTCATTGATGAAACTTTCAGCTATACCCATACTAATCTAGTAAACACTCTCTTCAAACCATGAGTTTTTTAAGTATCACAATAGTGTAGAAAGTCTCAAGAATCTGTTCAGGCTGAACCTACAAAAAAAAAAAAACTCAAGTTAAAGAATGAAAAGTCCTGCTCATTACATGAAAGACATATCGCCTGTACTTGTATAAAACAGTAGCATCCTAACAAACATGTATTTTCCAGAGCTTCATGCAGCATAATGTAAGTTCCCTTTTTCTGGATTTTTCCTGGAATCAAATTTCAATTCTCTCTGCTATTTGCTAATCAATAAATTATTGTTTTGTTTTTTTCTATACTATGACATATTGTTAATTGTTCAGCTGATTATCAGGTCCCACTGTTCGTTAACCTCCATAACGATACAGGAATGAAACCTCATCATCAAACACACTGTTAAAAGTCGCACCGCCTATAGACATTGAAGCTTCACCAACTAATTTTGTTGATAGACCCAAATTTGAAGCAATATCAAATGATACAGCTGAAGTGCGAGAACCCTTTCTTTTACGAGACCTTGAAGGGCACAAAATAGTTGCAGTAATCCAAAAACCCACCACTGCATTCTCGTTGTTGAGGATTTGCTTGAAAAGAATCCGAGATATATTTTTCGCCTTCATGATTTCCTTCATGTCTCCTATAACTCATACTTGTACTTACCATTACCCATACTTCCTCTGTTTTCAACTAATCGCATAGAGTTCAACTATCAATCCAAATACTCCATCCCTCAATTTCCTACCAACAATAGTACATTATTACCATAAAAATGTTGAAGGCTTTATTATATTCCACTAGAAAAAAAAATCCATCGATTCATGCAGCCGTCCAATAGTAATTAAGGTATCAGCCAGGCAGGTTTATTACTTTATACACAATATTATATTGTTTAACTTCTCAGGTCCTTCCCTGTCTACCTGCATATATAGGCCTCTGATGGCTGCCATTTTTGCACCAATTTTGCATTTAATTACTTACTACGGCAGCGCATATTTATGTAAATCCAAACCCGAGCCCAAGAGAAGACGAAAATAATATCTTATATTATAGGGGCTTCTCATCGCACTTTTTCTTTCGATTTTATTATGTATTAAAAATTTTGCTCAGTGGCGTGGGAAATTGGATTGAACGATTGATTGGAACGACTACATTTTTATCTTTAATAAAAATCGCTAAACTAGTTTTTATCCTTTATCCGTTATGGCTTGTAATGGGGTAGGCAATAAGGAGAAGATAAGTGAAGGAAATTATGATGGCAATAATACGGGCATGGATAAAGATAAACTAAGATAAGAAAAAGTCTTAAGTTTAACACATAAAAATTCTTTCTAGGTACTTGGAAGCCGAATTTCCACCTAAAACCAATACGGTAGTCTATCACGTACCCAAAGATTTTCAAAGGGCAGGTGAAAAACAAGGTTGCCAAGCAGAGGATTTAGTTTTTCAGAGGCTGAAGAATTTAATTTCGCTGGAAATACCAAACTTATGGATTATGTTTTTCCATAGCGCCGCTTATGGTGGTTATTCGAATAGGAACCAGAGATTGGGCAAGTTGATGATACGCGAACACGATTTCGTAGTTTTTATCAAATATAAAGGTGAATGTTTCTTTTTCTTCATTATATTTTTCCATCTTTCTTTTCTGAAAATTCTGATAATAGTTCTGTTTACAAATTTTGCCTTGTTTAGCTATTTGATTCGGGTCTTCTTTAAATTTTAACTGCCCCATTTCTGTATCTTTGCTAAATGTTTTCGTTTTTATCATTTATTTCTGTTTTTTCTTCTTTCTTCTATTTCTACTATTGACTAGGTTTTTGTAACTTTTTCCTAATGCTTACTTTATCTTCTTTTTCTTTTATGTTTTTATAACTGCTGTTTTTCTTCTTTCATATCAATATCTTTTATCAAGCATCTCTAATTAAAATCTGCAACTTTTCGTCATTCCACTTAGATCAGCACTTCGTTCTTCTAATAGAAGTGAAATCCACGCACGACAAAGCAACAATAAAAGACAATTTAGAAGTAACCGCAGATTCGAAAGTTATTAAAAACAATAAAAGATCCGCTCAGCATCAGCTAAGAGACCATTTGGAAATTTTACAAAACGGTTTGGGTTACGATGTCAGTCCGGAAATCCAAACTTACATCATGTGGCCCTTTTTAGGGCAATTCACCAAAGATCCTAAACAGCAGGTTAGTGTTTGACCGAGTTTAACTTATCCAAAAAGCTGTTGTTAGAATTTTTTAGATTATCAAAAGGTGGGCCGAAGATAAAAATTTACACGTTTACGAAAATGTCCTCTCGGACCAAAAAGCTTTCAATATTTGGTTTCTGCAGGAAGTGATTTGTCAGAAGGTCTGCTCAGAAAAGACTTTTGCTCACTTGTTAACCAGGTACGTATTCCATTTCCAGTTAAACGCTTACAAATGTATTTGTAGCAAGAATGTAATCGCAATTTACGAGATCCTCGAGCGTTAAATGCCGACTTTTTATTCTTCACTTAAAGAATTACAAATGGGTATTTAGTTTTTTTTTCGCAGGATACATCAACTTTTATTATCGTACCTACCTATGTATGTATCGTCATCCTAAACTGTCCCCATAATTAATGCCCTCTGCGTCTTCTAGCATTTTTGCCGGAACTTTTTCTTCTGCGAGCTTCCCAGAAAAGCGACTGGTGATGGCAGCTTTTAAGCATCGTTTAAAACTCGTCGTTAACGATTGTTGGTACCCAATAGTAATTTATTTTTATTGAGTACTTAGAGGGAATTGTGTATTACGTAGGTATGCGGTGCCTAGGCTATATATGCCTTTCTTGGGTACCTTTAAGTGCCATCTTTAGAGAAGAAGTATTTGTCTTTTGTATATTCAGCTTTTTTCATTTCGTTTTATGTCCCTAGCTTGTAAAGTACTGAAAGACAATATATTGTTTATTGAAAACTAAAAATATAAATGCTGAATAATCTTTGAAACCACAAGCAACAAAATACTATTATGTATAAAGGAGGAAATGTGATATTTTCACATTAATTCAATATAGGCTTGTCAAAACTAGTGTAACAATGATTTGAAACTAATATCAAGCTCAATTTTTTTTTTTTCGATAAATATACAAAATCATTATTTCCTTTTTTCAGATACATTGTATTAAGCTGTGGCATTTTCATGGATGAAATCGATCTAGACATGCTCGTTTTGCTCACGCAGCAACAACTAACTGTACTTTCCAGCACTGAATGTAAAAGGGGAGGCTCACTGGTTAGTAATAAAAACATTTATCTGCAATTTTGTTATTTTTAATTCCACTTCTAAAGGTCGTTCATGGTATAGCTGGTACCGGTAAAACTTTACTAATCCTCAAGAAGCTGCAATTACTTTACGAAACTGGAAAACTTAATGCCGAAAACAGAGCCCTCTACATCTGCTACTGGCCTGGAATCAGATGTGAAGTTATCCAAAAAATTAAAACAATGGGCCTAGAGTCCTACGTAGACACAGCCCGTTTCTACATTACTTCAACCGATTTCCTAAAAGCCAACAAAACTAAATACAAGCACATATTTATGGATGAAGCCGAAGCTATAATTTTAAGCTTCCAAGCTGAAATAGTTGAAAAAACATTTTACAGAATTTACAAAAGTTATCACGATGGAAATTGTCCTCGAAAAAATTGTAGTTTGGCAAGTTTAGAAGCTTTTCAACAACATTCAATTTCGAAATTGCTAAAGTTGCATATCGAAGAAAAAATTGCGTGGGGTGAGCTTTGGTTCATGGTTGATACTAATCAAGCTTTGATGTTTTTACCAAAGCACTCGCCGAATTTTTTGAAAAAGCCTCATGTCATTTTAAATAAGCTTATAAGATCTACTAGCCAAATATGCAATTTTTTCAGCTCCGTTACCAAACAAAACATCACTGAAGAAGAAGTTAACTTTCCCAAAGCTGAAAAAGAACCACCTATTTTTTGGGTACCAAGAACCACAAATATAACCGATACGGTTTCACAAGTCATCGTTGATCTTTGTTCCACCAAAGGAATTAAACCAAGCGACATATGCGTTATGCCTTTTCTACAAAACGAACTCCTCACAGCGGAAGCTATAAATTTGCAAATTTGCCAGAAATTTGTCGATAAAGCTTTTCAGCCTGTGGGCATAGCTGACGTAGAAGATTTTCTAACCAATAGGACACCGAATGAATTTCTTATCGCTTGGGCTTTAAGGGTTAAAGGCCTGGAATTTAAAGTAGTCATAATGGTTATAGACGAAGATCAGTTTGATAACGAGGATGCGGATGATAGAAGGAAAATTTATGTCATTTCTTCTAGATGCACATGTATGTTGGTGGTAATAAGTGATGAATATGTGAGGAAAGCTACAGGATTGGATAAGTTTTCTGAAGATTATTGTTTTAATATTAAATTTGAGTATAATAATAATTGAAATGATTAAGATTATAAGAAATATACAATATTCAAAGTGAGTGGTTTTTTTCATTATGTGTAATCCTAAACGTATATATGGAGTTTGGGGAACCTCACTTGACTTGCAAATTACTTTGGAGGTGGTTTAAGGGGGTGAAACTAATAATGATTCATCGAAAAAAAGGGTTTTTGTGAAATTATGGACATTTCCACACTAGTATCGGGCACAAACAGTACTGGAAATTATAGGCACTACCAAAATACATCGTTTGGGGAACCTCACTTGACTTGCAAATTACTTTGGAGGTGGACAATGCTACTGGATTAGATGGGTTTTGCGGATTTTTAGGACTCCCTATTTAACTCTCTTTCCATGCACCTGCTAGGTCAATCTGACGCGACTCTATTCGTATTTCTGCGGGTCTTTTATAGATTTCACTGTGGTTGTACTGAGTTTTGGTGCCTCATTCTGGATCAGGCAAAAATTCACTTTTCCGCGTTTCCGTGCCCCAATTACAAAATCCAAAAATTTCGCATTTTTGAAAAATGTACAAATTTGTAGGGACGCCAGAAACACCGAGAAGTTGAATTTTGGAGAAATTTCGCATCCTAGTCAAAGGAGGAGAATTTTAGGAAAATCTCGTTTTTTTCTATTAGGGACACAGAATTGTGAGGAGTTAAATTCATTTTCGACCAACTCTCAATTTTATATCGCAGTTGCAAAAACGTAATGGATTAAATCTTAGAACAAATTACCCTGAAATAGTGAAAAACCTTGTGAAACTGCACAAATATCCTTGAAAATATTAAGTGCTGTATTTTATTTCAGGCTTTTGACTGTTCCTTGATTCTTCTATAAAAAGAAATTTTGATGGAAACGGAAATTCAAGAGCCTGGAATCGTCAAAAATTGAAACTAAAGAAAGGAGAAATAGAGACAATAAGAGTTTTAAGGAAATTTGATTAGTTTTCTTTTCTATTCCAGGCTTTTGAATGTTTCTTGATTCTTTTTAGGAAAGACATTTTATTCCAGGCTTTCGACTGTTCCTTGATTCTTCTATAAAAAGAAATTTGGATGGAAAAAGAAATTCCAAGAGCCTGGAATAGACAAAAATTTATAGTAAAGAGAAAGACAAATAGAGACAAGGGTTTCAAAGAAATTTAATCATTTTTCTTTTCTGTTCCAGGCTTTTAACTGTTTCTTAATTCTTGGAAGGAAATTTATTCCAGGCTTTCGACTATTCCTTAATTCTCCTATAAAAAAAAAATTGGACGGGAACAGAAATTCAAGATCGTGGAATATTTAGTTGAAATTTGAAACTAAAGACAAGAGAAATAGAGGCAAGAGTTTTAAGGAAATTTGATAATTTTTCTTTTCTATTCCAGCCTTTTGACTGTCCTGGATTCTTTTATGGAAATATTTTCTTTCTACGAGCGTGCGTGAAACCCCACTTTTGCGCATGGTTTAGTTCCTGAAAGTAACACTTTTCCGCGCTAAAATACCATGTGCCACCATTGGTATATCGGAAACGTAGAGATACGAGGGCGGTTAAATTAGAAAAAAGCTGCCATTTTCCAAGGTTATTAGAATTATATTTCTGCAGTTGCCAAATTTCTATTAGTTTCCTAAATACAGGGTGATTTGTGAAAAAAACAGTTTTAGGTGTTTGTAGGTACAAATCACACTGTATCTCGGAAACTACTAGAAATTTGGCAACAACGAAAATATCATTTTAAAATCCTGCGAAAACGGCTACTTTTTTCTAATTCCACTGCCATCGTATCTTTTGCCGTTTCTGATATATCAATGGTAGCTCATGGTATTTTGAACACCCTGTATAGGTAAATAAAACCATAAATTTGAAAAATATATATCACAATAACTTTATGCCCTAGAGTCTAAAGTAACTTATTTACTTCACAACCTAGCGATTTTTTACGCACTAATGCGTGAAATATCATTTTACATTATTTGAAGAGTACGTAAAGTAAGTTTTACGCAAGGTGGTAGAAAAAATATTTTACTTATAGGTACTACTTACCTACATCATCTCTTGCTACCGTTTGTTTTTTATCCTTTCTTTGCCTCACTTGAAGTGATATGCTGAGTCTGAGTACATTGATGAGTAGTCAATAATACCATTTATTTTCCGGATGCCTGTTTGTGTTTGCACGAATTCAAAGCAAATGGATAGTGATGAGGTCCCATTCATATAACATTTTTGTAGGATTTTGATATCATATTATAACTTATGTATGCTTACATGCTTACTATTTATGTAAAATTTACATGAACTTTGTTGTTTCGTCTTGGTTCATGTGTCGTCGTTAGAAATAATTTAAAATAATATTTGGAAAATTAATTGATTATGAAAAGATCGAGCACTACGAGCATTTTTTTCATTAGAGAGGGCCAAAAATGGTAAAACTAACAGGATTCCTCATTTGCTCATCCTCATAAGGTGTACGTTTGCCAATTCACGAGTCGGCAGGGCCTGCGAGTGACGTCACCACTATTAAGGTGCGTTTAGACTAGAAAGTTGAACTCTGTTTTGAACCAAGATTGTACAACGGGGTCTAAAAGTTCTTGCAGGCAGGCAAACCAAATAATAAAAATATCTTATGGAAAGTATCGATGTTTTGATTTGATTTTGATTGATATAAATCGTTTTATCGATATGAAAAAGTAGAGGTTTTGACATAAATCTGAGTCGCTCCACTCGAGCTGCTCTAGAGCGCCCCGGAGTGTTTATAGGCACACAAAGGCAAAACCAGCAACAGCAAGAATCACAAATCAACAAACTGATACTAAGGGCCATATTCTCCGTAGTTCATAAAGCCTGGCTTAGTGGAAATGATTGACTTTTTGTGTGACAAAGCCGAGCTTTTCTACTAAGCCAGGCTTTATGAACTACGGAGAATATGGCCCTAAGCCCGGTATTCATAGACGGGTGCTTGGCTCAAGCTCCGATTTTTGACAGTTGTGAGCATCGTTCCGTGCTGTTTGGGATCGCAAATATGGCGTCAAGTCGTACTTGAGCCAAGAAGCAACGTTGAGCATCGACTATGAATACGGGCGTAAACGCTGTGAACGTGAATGCGTTGGTATGTGCAGGAATGACCGCTCATATCGCTACCCAGATCGTGATCGCGGCCGTGAACGCGCCAGTGTGCTTTGGCTTAGACCTTACAGTAGGCTGCGTTCCAGTGAAACAAGAACAGTTGTTTGGAGCACAGAGTGCGAAGCTACTGGTGTGGAGCATCTTAAAATTCATCACTGGAAAATACTGTATTCCTTTTATACATCGAGTTACACCAAACGTGTCGCTCTAGAACTCCTCGGAGTCACTCCAAAACACACAATTCCGATATTATCATTATTAGAGAGTTATCGTGCCTTAGACGCTACGCTAATACGGTACCGCTAACAATACGGTATTTTATAGTTCTCGGTTCTAACAATTTTCATTGCCAACAATGCCAACGAAAGCTCAGACCAATCAGTGTAGTTCAACGCCGGTAGGGATATTTGCCCTCGGAGTAGTTGTTTCTGACTGGTCAACGAAGTTCAATTTTGCTTGGACAGGGAGCTTCAGCCTATGTCCTTCTGATGAGTCCTAACAAGAACGAAACGCGTCAAGGACTGGCACAGGAATGCGGGGTCCACTCTCACTGGGTCGATTCCCAAACAGGGACTCTTATGTCCCTGATTTCACGTTGGTCATTACCTGAAAAAACTTTGTAACAATTTTTTTTTTATTGTTTTCTAACTTATTATTTATCCTGGAGATTCTAATTAATTTTCCCTTGGTGTTTTTTATGGTGGAATTATTAGAAATTGTTGTTCTTGCAGGCAGAAATGAATCGTAAACTAATTTTGACATAGCATAGCGTTACGGTAAGGCATCCGCTAAGTCCCGTTAGATAGCGGGCTCCGCTAACACTAATAGAGAGTTATTGGACGTACAATAAGGACAAGCAGTATTTAAATTAGCCTTATTTTGACATCTACGCATGCGCATTTGGGTCCGAAAATAAGGATTCCCTTAATAAGGTTACTGCTTGTCTTTATTTGTGTATGATTAGTGCAACGCCGTAAACTTCCCTTATTTCAAATTTCTGACATTTTGGACGACTTTGACATTTCGCTTTTCTACGATGATGTAATTTTACTTAGAAAATTTATTTTTTACAATAGTTTTCCATTTTACTGTGGGTAACATCAAAAAATGGGTATCAGCAGAAAATCACAAACAAAAATAAATACTTTTTGAGGCTGAATTTTATAAACATAACTATCAGCTGTCAAAATTATGAATACAAAATAAGGTAATACTCTACAGTCTTCCCCGTAAATCCTTAATACTGCGAAGCAGTATTTAATAGTTCCAATAACTCTCTAATACCGTAAGAACTGTCATACTTATCAAATAGCGTTACGGTATTTGAAATTTGAGTCAGATTGGCTAGAGGCGATTAACCAGTCGGTTATATTGACAGATGAACAATAACCCTTTTCACGTGGCTCCGGTTTAACAAACCGCAACATATCGCTCAAATTCGAGTGGTAAAGTGCGTTTTTTTTTAAAGATAATTCCCCAAGTCAAAAATTAGTAACTATGTTGGCAACACAAGCCTTTTCTACATAAAAAATTTGAAAGCATTTACAATTTTACATTGTATTGCCAACATAATGTCATTTTGAATTTTATCTTAAAAAAAAAAAACAGATTTTAGGTATCCATCACGTCACTTTGTAACCGGGTTAGAAAACGGTATGTCATTTCTCTAACCGTTTTGTAACCCGGTTAGTTAAACCGGATCCAACTATGACCGACCGGTCAATCGCCTTTAGTCATTGTTGGACAGCACGAGAACTCTCTATTCTTTGATATTAGAGCTGGGTTCGGCTTGCACACTACGTGCACTCTGAGTGACTCCGTTCGCACTAACCGTTCGGGTATTGCCTTTTAACGAATCAGACAACGGCTGAAGTGCGAACGGAGTCACTCGGAGTTCACGGAGTGTGCAAGCCGAACCCAGCTTAGGTCTGTTTCTGCAGAAATCACAAACCAGTCACAGTGAATTTTATTAGTTGAAACTAGTTTCCTGACTGTTTGCAACCAATGAAATTCGCTCTGACTGGTTTGTGATTTCTGCAGAAACAGACCTATTAACATTACCTAAAAGGGCTTTTTGCACCCACCGCAAATTTGGTGCATCAGGGGAAAGGGGGATGCACTGTGTGTGACTCGAATGCTTAACGCATTTCTAAAAGGAACGTTCAAGCTTTTGACATTAAGCAGCTCGGAGTTACTCAACGGGTAAAAGGAATACAGTAAAGCGGCTCTGTTGCGCAAAGAATCAAATGCTTCGTTCCTTTTAGTGCTCTGATCGTTCCCGTTACATTCCGGAGCAAGCTCCAATCTACTCTCGAATGAATATTGGAACTCAGCGCAGCGAAATCCCTTCATGGAGGCTTTTGTTTTGACTTTTGTCAGAAAACTTTTTGGTTAGAATTATTTGGCCTTAAAAAAAATTGTCAAGGCTTTTTTTTCTCAGTCACAAAATTTGTGAAATAAAAGCTTGTGTTGTTTGTTCTGTGACCTTATTATCATATTTGATTGTCAACTTGATCTCCACCTAGTCATTCCTAATTATTTTACAAACCAAATTAAAATTTTCAATTTCAATATATTCACAAACCCCTAAATGTAGAAGAAACTAATAAACACCTAACCATAAGGTAAGTCAAATTCAAGTAAAGAAAACTAAAAAAACAGGTATACCTATATTACATAAAGAATAAATTATCACATTATGTTATGAGGTTCTTTTCAGAAAATGTCAAATCAATACATTTTCCCTGATGCTGATGACCAACAAATACTCCTTCAAGATGGGTCAATTATTTGGAATGACCAATTAAATGAAGAAGCTTCATTGCATTATTTCGATACCAATGATACAATCATCAGCAGCAGTGAAAGCTTTGCTACAGCTATAGATGCTAATGAAACTGCATATTTATCAGCTTTAGAAACTACTACTACCCCTGATGTGACTTTGGATGATATACATGACATTACTATTAATAATGAAGAAGAGGAGGCTGTTCCTCCTACAGTCAATCCAGCTGAAGATGCAGAAGAAGCTAATTTAGCATTAGAGGAAATCAATGCAGATAATCGAGTGATTGTATTTACCATAGATGGAGGCGACGATTTATATGGAATTCAAATGATTAAAGATGATGCTGGAAATCTTCAAAAATATCAGTTTAAATTTAGAACAACTGAAGCTGGTCAGTTGGAATTTATACCAGAAACTGTTACACTTTTAGAAGAAACTGTGAACACTGAAGAAGCAGTTGAGACTGAGGTTCAGACAGAGCAAGAAAATGTTTTGGTTAAAACCTCAGTTAAAACCGAAAATAATATACTACATGAAACTGTGGAAGATTTACATATTAAAGGTAAATTTTAAAATATTTCTCTATAATGTACCTACAACTTAGACATTTTTTTAGGAGAAATGGAATCAGACGCAGAAGATATTGATGAAGCAGTTGATGAAGACAGTAATACTAAAAGTTCACCTTTGCAAAAACCTTTGGTTAAACAAGAAGAAATATTGAGCAGCCAGAATAGTGAAGATGAAGAAAGTATTCAAAATGAAATTGAATCAACAATGCCATTGAGAAAGGAAGAACATTTAGAAGAAACTAATGAAGACCAAGAACAACTTGTTGATGAAAATATGCATGTAGAAGATCAATTTGAAAAGCAATTACAGCAAGACAATGAGGTAGAAGGAACTGAATTCATTCCGGAATATTTAGATGATTTTGTTGATGATACTTCACAAACAGAGCAATATAATTTCAAAGGTAAATAAAACATATTTTTTGCCCTTGAGTTGAATAATATTTATATTTAGATCAAGAAATTATTACTCCAAATGTTCCACTTGATGCCAATGATAGAATAAATATATTAAGACATTCTCAGGATAAGTCTGAGGACAAACTGAAAAAGTTGACATCAGTAGGCATGAAATATTATGTCATGTATCCGGAAAAGGAAAATGTAAATTCTTTAGCAGGTGATATTTGTTCTAAAAAATTATTTTATCTCCTACAAAAAATCTTCTAGCTAACAACAACCTCATTCAAACTCAGCTAGCTCAGCGGACCTTACCAAAATCCACAAATCCAAGAAGCTTACTAAAGATAAATTTTGATAAAGACAAAGATAAACCAAAGAAATGCGTAAAAAGTCAAGTTCCAATTACCCATTGTGAATTTTACGATAAGCGCTTTGCGAAAAACAAAGAGGCGATGCACGTTAAAAATTTTCATTCGTTTCTAAATAAAACTACAATACCACATGCGCCTGTTAGGCAAAAACGGCAACCCAGAAAACAAGAAATTAAGGCTACTGAAAGGGGTAATGAAGAAATTATTGTGCAAGAAGTTATTATTTCTGATAATGGGTTTATTGAAAGTCCAAATAAGAGAAGAAGGAATAGGAAATTGAAGGTAAATAAGGTACTATTTGTTCAGCAAAGACATCTATTAATCTGTATATTCTCTATCAACTCTTATTAATTAAATTGTACAGGTTCTGTTCATGGAGATCAACAAACTGTAGCTGCTCTCTTGTTTCTATATAAGAAAAAAGCCAAAAAAATATTTCAGTAATTTTAATAAACATTAGTTGCTCGAGGTTACACTATAGAAAACGCTCTATTCAGTGCAGTTCGGCGAACTCCGAACATTTTATTGATTTTGACATTTGACTTGACAGCAATTACCAACGTCAGAATTAATTTTGAAATAACTGCCATTTTCTTTGGATGTTTACTGATTTTATTCTTGAGATTTTCATATACATTTATTGAACTTTATATAATCTTTCTTTTACAATTTTCACGCAAAGTACAGGTATTTATTTATTTAAGTCAATTGCATCTCTTATTTGAATTGTTTTACCTCCTAAAAACTGGATTCTTATAATATAAACAAATTATTTTTTTTTAGGTGACTGCTGTTGTAGAACTATCCGATTCAGAAGACGACACCAACAATCCTAGCTCTGATATAACTATTATAGAAATAAATTCTGATTCTGACGATTCCATAAGTAAAACAGATACAGCTAAAAGTCAGACAAGTGATACACAAAACACTTTAAAAAGACGCCGAGGTAGACCTCGAAAATTAAAGAAAGGCACTAACAAACCTGTGCCAGATGAAAGTGATAAATTACCAGATAAAAAAGGAGAAATAATTTGTCCTCGTTGCCCCAAAACCTTTGCTAGTCAGAATAGTCTCAATACTCATCTAAAACATCATAATTTGGAGAATAATTTAAAAATAAAAGCCACAATGAGTGACAGAACGATGCCTCGTCAGTCTCTATTACCAAAATTCAACTATAATCATAAATGTGAGGAGTGCCAGCAAACTTTCAAAAATACCATTCTACTGAAAAACCACAAATGTACAAAAACACAAAATAATTCTAACCATAGTTGTTCGGTGTGCCTTAAAAAGTTCCGTGATGTAACTTTGTTGAATATCCACAAGAAAACTCATGCAAAGGCAAACCTTCTCATTAACACTAGCGTCTTGAAAGTGTCTCCAAAGAAAATACCAACTATATGCATAACAAGATCTTCTCCAAAGAAGTCTTTCAGGTGCACTGAATGCCCAAAAATATGTGAATCCAATGAAAAGTTGCTAAATCACACCAAAACCCACAAAAAATTGGTTTGCTCCTCCTGCTCTGCAACATTTTCTTCCAAATTCCTGCTTGAGACCCACGCTAGAACAAACTGCACCAAACTCAAATCGTCAGCCAACAATAAACGTTTATCATATACAATCAGAAAAACATTTGTAAACACACCACCTAGACGTATGACTATGGCTAAACCAGCTGATAAAACTGCTGTCAACAACGTTTTGGGAGTTAAACTAGACTGCGACCTGTGCGGCTTGGAATTTCCAACTTTCCGCTCATTGTATATGCACAAAGTGCAATTGCACGGCTTGAACACACCAAATAAAAGCCTAATGATGAAACCTAAATGCAAACGAGGTGATTACAAACCTAAGGCTGCTCATGGAGGCGTTCCCATGAATCCCAAGCTACAAAAGGCCTATGCAGCGTTGAAGACAAAAATGGCTGAATCTACAGATTTAGTTATTTACTAACAATAATTTACATGTACCTTATTTTATATTATGTATTTTTTTTTGTTTGATTTTTTTTTATATAGGTTTATTATAAGTAGGATGTAGAATTTGTATAACAGGTTTTCTTATATTAATTCAGTTTTAGTAGAGTGTTTGACCCCGGATAGACGTTTTTAAATAATTTTGGGGGTCAATTTTAGTATAAATTTTGCAATATTCTAATTAATAATAAAAAAGTTTTGTAATAATTTGATATTTATTTGCTTCGAACATTTGAAATTTGACTAGTGATTAGTGCGATCAGTGTAGAGAAAAGATCTCATGGTTCAATTTTTTTCATTCTTTTATTTGGTGATAGAAAAAGATACAAAATACTCCCAACTGAGACAAAAACGAAAAATAATGTTAGGTTAAAGTCGAATAATATATAAAAATAAAAACATCCGTATATTTTTATATTATTTCTCTAAAGTGATTGAACTGGAAAAGAAACTCTTGGAAATGGAATCCTGTGATGGAAAAAGTTCCTCGAAAGCAGAAATTACAAAAATAATCTCCTTAACTAAACAAATTAAAATAAATTCTCCAGATGAGTATATTAAAGGACAATGTATGCAAATGTGCCCCCAAGAAGAAATACTAATGTAAATATAAAACACAATTTTTTAAAAATCCATAGATTTTATCTACAAATTTTAGGCGAGAGAAGGAACGCCTGCTTCATGTTCTCGAAATGGTTCCTGGTACCGAAAAACATAAGAAGCCCCAATCAGACAGAAGCAAAATGGTAAAATCATTCTCACGATCAGCAGCAGGAAAACAATTACAAAATCCTAAAAACTTGAGACCTCCATCTGTTTTATTGGAAACTATACATTATTTATTTGATGAGTAAGTATACCTACATAATATATACACCTTATGTCACATAAGGCTAATTACTTTAATAGACTCTAGATACTAGTAGATAGTCTTATGAGGGGTTTATATGTATAGACACATAATATAAAAAGTTGACCTTATGAAAATCTCTTGAAGGCCATTACACACAGTTTTGCACTCGGTTTTGTATAAGCATAAGTCCCAACCAATCACAGGTTGTATTAAAGGTCACCTGATTTTTAGTTGACAATCAGGTGACCTTTAATACAACCTCTGATTGGTTGCGACCGAGGGGTTTTTCACCTAACAAAATTTGTAGACCAATTAACAGTAGTAACTGAGATATTTCCATGCATTAGCAGATATTTTTATGTACCTAATAAGAAGTTACTGCCAACTATTTCCATGTATTAACAAAATATTTCCACATATTGCCAGGTATTTCCCTAGTATTATCTCATATTACCAGGTATTGCCATGCTATTGACATACTAAAATCAAGTATTTGTTTCGCCAGAATTCTAGGTATTGACATATCCACAGGTAGTTACATGTTATTAATGGGTATCAACCAATGACATTAACATATATTGCCTGCATATTGCCTGGATATCTACAGGTATTGACATAACCAGTGATTTCTACACAGATTAACAAGGTGAAAAAACCCTTCGATATACACCTTTTATCACATAAGGCTTATTACTTTATTAGACTGTAGATACTAGTAGATAGTCTTATGGGGGGTTTATACAGACACATAAGATAAAAAATTGACCTTATGGAAATCTCTTGAAGCTTGAAGGCCATTACACACAGTTTTGCATAAGCATAAGTCCCAACCAATCACAAGTTGTATTAAAGGTCACCTGATTTTCAGTTGACAATCAGGTGACCTTTAATACAACCTGTGATTATTTGGGACTAACAAAATTAAGGTACCTACTCATTAGTTCAATACTCATACATTTTCAAATTAAAATCTTAATTGATTGGTTCAAAAACTATTAATTTTCAGGTCAGATTTTTCCTAATATCTAGCTATTATCTCTTATTGCAAAGTAATGTTATTATTTTTTGCTTAAGTTACGCTAATTTAAGGTGAAGCGGCGGCACCGGCGAGCCGCCACTAATATAGAACATGATCACTTGACTCTTCATGTGAAAAACAGAAAAACAATTTTGCCTGGCAAAGTTGAAGAGCATTCAGCTATTCTTTTAAAGCCCCATTAGGCTGAATTCACTTGAAACCACGTTGTGCCACTGACACCCAACAGCAAATCATAATTCAACCATTTCTCGCCGGTATTCGGTAGTGCCCCACTGCTACACTTACCTTAAATAGTATAATCGTGCAACAAATGGGATCTCAACCTATTATGGTAAACGGCTTCCCCGGAGGACACCAATTACCAAAAAGAAATAACAAACTATGATTTGCTGGATATCAGTGAAACGCAGCTTCAATTGTTAAGAGGAAGTTATTGAAAACATCTACAGCCAAATGCTTAAAGTCTAATACCAAACATGCTCAACTAGAAGTAGCTTACCAAAATTCTGATTTGAAGGGCAGTTAGGATCATAACTTAGGTAATTATTATTTTTTCAATAGCTTATTCCTCCACAATAGTCTACTACCCAATGACAAATATAAAAATAGCTAAGAAAATAAAGGTACAATAGCTTGTTTACATTACCCTGGTCCTTTTTTTTCTTACTTCAATGACGATTCTTCAATCAGGTAGAATCCAGTGTATACTTCTTATTCTTGTCTGTGGCCAAATGGCGCAGAAATAAAACAATAAAGCCTCGAACAAACTCTATTTTATAAGAAAACGATTAAATATTAAGTAATAACAAGCACATAGATGTTAACAATACGAAATTCATATTCTATCTGCACAAAGAAATATCCACCAGGATGTTTATACTATTTCATATAAAAAGTGTTTTTGCCCGATGACGAATACAAGTGTTAAATAATCACTGATCTGCATTATGCATCAGATAATATGTACTGGTGTTACTATGTAGATATATAACTTTTCAATCGATCCACACTGACCAATTATACGGCCAATTCAACAACGTCGAATGGACGCTTCATAGATGTCTCAATACAGGGTATTTTTTCTGAATGGGTCATAGTGGGTTTCACATAGTAACTTTTGAACCTGTTGGTTCATGTCATGGTCAAATAAACGTCCACTACGTGACGTCCCAAACAAGTCATATTTTGCAACCTCTTTCCGACGTAAATCTATTTAAAATCGACGTCATAACGACTAACCTTTGCTGCTTGGGATGTTTGTTGGAATAGGAAAAAAGACCTGCTGGAAAACATCCTCCAGTATTTTTAATGTTTGAATGGATTTGGATCAGACGACTATTTCGCAGATCTGGGGGTCTATGCAACGAATAGCGATCGGTATTTCTATCTCTATGGCACTTGCTGTCTTCTCTCTCTTCGAAATTAATAGAGAAGGGACGTCAATAGAGATAGAGAAAATATCTTTATTCGTTATATTATAGTCCCCCAGCTGTTTTTGTTTTAAAATTGTATTTGCTGACATCCAATGTTCACTATCGTAAGCCCGGTTTATTATTCGTCTTGAGATTAACTTGCTGGTGACTATCTGCAAGATAAATTTACAGATCTATAATCCTGTTGGTCACTCGATAATTGGTTGACCATTTTGACCAATGGGATTACATATTGTGTTTTTATCCGTTAGATTGCATTACCTGCTTGTCAGTTTATTAGGAAGTGAATAAACCGGCCCTTATATTATGTATTAAGAGGGCTCTTGAAGAGCCAGGAATAGACAAAAATTTGAGAATTGAAAGGCAGACATTAAGGGAAAATGGAGAAGATAAATAGACTTAAGTACCTGTTGTTTTTATTCCAGGCTCTTGAATTTTTTTTATGTAGAGATATTTAGAAATAAACAATACAAGAGCCGGGAATAGACAAAAATTGAGATGGAAAAATTCAGAAATTTGGAGAAGAAATTTAAGGAAAATTTCTAAAAAGCAGAAGTATCTGTGAGAAGAAAACCATCATTCGACTATCTCACAGATTCAATGGGTTTGCCTAGGTATTCTCCGGGGTATTCTCTGATATAAAGTAAATGCTGAAGCTTTCGCAGATAGTTGAGAGTGGAAAGATTGCCTAAATAAACTTCCAGATCCCTAGGAAATCCAGAGGCCTGAAAACCAGGAAGGCACTAGGTCGCGAGGCAGGTGAATGATGAAAAGCCTAAAAAGGCTGTAATGACCCTAACTATCATGACCTTTTCCCTTCTGGGAATGGAACACTTCTAATAGAGTGAACATATTTTATCTGTTTGGAACTATTCTGAAGAAAACAATTCGAAAGCCGGGAATAGACAAACATTTACTTTTTAGACAGAAAAATTTGAGAATTGGAAAACACAAATTTAGGGAAAATTGAGTGGATAAATAGACTCAAGTATCTTTTGAATTCACTGTTTGGAAACACCCTAGCTTACCATAATAACCTGTGTTTCGTCAAAAGGACGTCTAATTTACAACAAAATTAGTTTTTGTAGGTAACTTGTGAAGTTTCCGAAATATTTGACTGTCAACTGAAAATCAAGTGACCTTAAATACAACTTGATCAGTTGGGGCGTATGCTTAGGCGTTATGCGAAACCGTGTGCGACAGCATTTATCTTTATTATGTCTAAAGGCCGATTTACACATGTAGACAACCTGCTTTGCCAGCCAAGAATTGGCATGCTAGTGAGACTTACCCCAGCTACTGGATACGTGCAAATCGGCCTTAATGTTATGTATCTGCTGTATACACCCTCTTGCAAGACAGCAAAACGTTTTTTAAATTTTGTCAGCTATTCTACCTTTTAAACTTTTTCCCAATGACTATTTATTGCAGTTCAATAAAATTAATTTGACTTATAATACATTTTTTTTTCAGAATTCTACTAAATAAACGTGTACCCTGGCATGTCACTTACGACTTTCTAATGGACCGTTTGAGATCCGTAAGACAAGATATGATAGTACAAAATCTTTCAGTAGCTGCATCTATATGTATTTTACAACCTATTGTTAGGTTTTATGCATATGCAGCTTATAGGTAGCTAGTATTAATAATGCCTACCTAACTTATTTAAATTATTTCGTTTAGGCTCTGTGAAGAACCTCTAGTAAATTATGATCCTCACATCAACGAAACTCATTTACAAGAATCCCTTAAAAGATTATTGTGTCTTTACGATGAATGCGATCGACTATTTTCCAATGAAATTATTAGCCAGGACAGTTATTGCATCAAGCGGTTAGAAAACACAAGGCCTGAATTTGAAGCTTTATATTTGATTTTGAATTTGGGAAGTACAACTGCTTTAATGAGAGGTTTGAGTTTACCAGTAAAATTGAGAAAGTGAGTAATTTTAGTTTATGTGCAAATCAAGTTTAGTAGGTACCTATTTTTTTCAGGAATGGGCTTGTGCAAAAGGCTATTAGTCTTTCTATGAGTTATTGCAAAAATAACTTTGTTAGAGTTTGTTATGAAATTCCTACATTTTCAGTTTTATTGCAAGGAGTAGTTGCTGCAATACATCTTCCAGAAATAAGAAGGTAAATGATATTTAAGAGAACAAAAAATTGCTTAGTAGGTACAAATAATTTTTTTTTAGAAAAGCACTAAATATAATGTCAGTAGCGTATCATTGTAAAAATTCAGCATACCCTTTGCTGGTCTTAAAGAAGCTATTGCTTTATAATGATTTGAATGAAGTTGTTAGTGACTGCAATTATTTCGGCCTCAAATGTGATAAAATTACCAATGTTCACTTTATCAAGACTGATTTTGATAACAGCAAAATTAAGGTAAACATACTGTTTTTTGCAAGAGTTTGGTACCAAATAAAGTTTCCTCAACAGTTAAAAAGTATAATTTTCTATGCCTACAAATTTTTTAGGTGCCTTCGACTCATCTTAAGACTATAGATGCAGAATTTGAAAATGTTAAAATAAGTGATCTTATTCTAAATGGTTAATAATTTCATTGGACTCTAAGTTTCAGACTATGTAACCTTTGTATTGTGTTTTTTGTTTCAAAGCTGATCGCACAAAAAGTTGTTCAGGTAAAGCATGACAACAAATGCGACTTTTTGGGCGTCAAACCATAACCCACAGGTTGACATTTATAGTCACTCACCTACAAACGTCTATCAAGTTTCTTTACTAAAATAAATCAAAGTCCGAATTTATGTGTGTTTTTTTTTTCAATGAATAAATGATGGCTCCTAAATATTGGTCTATAATTGAGCTATGAATCAAGGTAAGAAATTTCAAAAGTTGTGTGTACTTGATTTACATAGCTTATTTTCAGAAGAATGTGCAGCAGTTAAAAGAAAAAGAGAACGTGAACTTCACGGCTATAAAAATATAGCAGGTAAAAATAATTTTGGACATTATTATTTCCTTAATATTATATTGAATTTAAAGGCATTATTGTACCAAATACTGACAAACGTACAGATTTTTGCATTGACAAGTCACAGAGACCTCAAATTGTCAGAAAGTCAGATTTGAGCCCAAGGGAAGGAGCTAAATACTCATCGGGTAAGTATGGGCTAGTCAATGTAACAAATTGAACGTCCCACAATTTGGTTCATACCCGCAGACTTAACCGATACCCCAGTCCGAACCAGTTGCGCAGACAAAAAATTGAGATCTTCTGCAGGCTCAGCACAAATACCAAATAATAAAAACATTTCCTCAAATTTTGAATACAAAACTGCTGGTATAAGCAAAGGCGTTCAAAAAGATAAAGATCCTGCCCCAAAAATGGAAGAGGCTGGAAGAAAAATCAACATAACTCAATCTACTTTGTTGCTAAATCTGCATCGGATTAGAGAACCAGTTTTGAACTACCAAGAGGCAAGAGGAGTACCAAGAAATGTGTAAGAATTGGGTAGTGTTTCGAGCTATTTTATGACCTGGCGGTTGTTTTTTTGGTAGGGAAGTCTAAATCTTCCTGTTTACTGCACCCATTTTAAAACCCTGGTTCCCTGCAGTAGGCGAAGTAGGTCTGTTGGATGTTTGCCGTATGTGTCTGAATCTAGTTCATATATTTTGTCTTCTGCGAGTTATTGCGTCACATTCTGATATAATATGTTGGGCTGTTTCAATCTCTGTTCCGCATAGTCTGCAGCTTGTGTCTCCGTTGTACAAGCCCATTGTTTGCAGGTGCTTCTTTATTGGGGCATGCCCAGTAAGAAAGCCGGTAGTTACTCTGAGTTGATTTCTGCTTAGTTGTAACAGTCTTTTTCCTCTTTTGCTACATGTCTCACGTATGAAGATTTTCCCATGTTTTGCTTTGATCCATTCCTTCAGCTCTTTTCTTACTGTGCTTTTGGGTACTCCGGGAGCTGGTTCGGGACCAAGGTATTCTGTGGATGACCCCTTACATGTTCGTCAGCCTTTTCGCTTCCCGGGATACCTCTATGTCCTGGCACCCTCATCAATGTGACGTTATTTTGGTCCGCCATGTTGATGAGTTCTCGGCATTCTATTACCAGTGCAGAGTTTGCCTTAGAGTTCTTCAATGCCCCCAGTGCTGCCTGACTGTGAGTAAAGTGAGTCTCCTGTCTTTGCGAATTGTAGTATTGCATATACCTCTGCCTGGAATACAGAAGTATGTCACCCTAGAGAAAAGAAGGTCTCGCATCTTCCTTCTTGGCTGTAGAGTCCTGCGCCTGTGCCATTCTCAGTCTTTGACCCGTCCGAGTACCAGGTCTGGCCTTTGAGATTGGAGAGTGGATGCCGGTTTTCCCATTCCCCCCAGGTTTATCCGAAAGTTCTCCTTGCTAGTATAAGTACCAGTTCTGACCTTTTGATTAATTTGTCCAGATGTTTGTTCCAAGTTAATTTTGAGTCCATGATTACCACAAGATATTTTACTTCGTCCGACATCGTAACTGGGTTTCCCTGAAGGTAAAGAAGTCCAAGTCCCTCCATTTTCCTTCTTTTGGTAAAAAGGACAATTGTCGATTTGGTGGCACTAATTTTTAACTCTACAGTCTCTTTCCACCTAGAGGCCATTGTTAGAACCTGCTACATGCGATTTCTAACTGTATGGTTGAATTTTCCCTGGGATATTATGACCAAGTGTCATATACCACATATGCATATACCTCGTCGGCGTAGAGCTCTCATAATGGCCTCGAAGGCGGTGTTGTCAAACGCTCCCTCTTTATCAAGGAAGGCTCCTAACATAACTTCCTTATTTTCCAACGCACTTTCTACCCGCTGGACGAGGTGATGTTTCTGTTGAGGTTCCTGCTTTGTAAGTGATGCACCACCCCGAAAGTGGATCTCAAGCAGTTTTTCTAGAGCCTTCAAAAAAAATGAGGCTTATGGGTGTCAGAGCTTTTGAATTGTCCTGACCTATTTTGCTAGGTTTGGAGATCAAAACAACGCTGATTTCTTTCCAGGCGGGGATATGATTTAGTCCCAAGCTTGCTCCAAATATGATCAGGAGCCTGGAGTATAGCGTGCTATTGCCTTTTTCTAACTATGGAAGGAGTGAGTCCCTGCAGGTTACTGAGCCCCCCATCACGTCAAGGTCCCACTTGGGGGTCTTCTTGAAGTATTGACAGTTTTACCATTATTTGAAAACAATATGAGGTAGAAACCGATGGGACTGTTTTGTACAATTTTTTGGGCACTAGGAGTCCATTTATCTTCTTATTGAGTTGTTGAAAATCAGTATACATACAATTTCTAAAAGCATTCACCGAGACATTGTAGAACTTCCTGATGTGAGAAAGTAATTTAACACATCTTTTTGTCCAATTATGCACTGTGACCTCTGAGGATTTGTCTGGAAGACGTCTACTTCCCCACATCATTAATATACAAGTTGATGAATTCTGTATATTCTTATCAAATTACCTTTGTTGAATATTTCACACATCAATATTTTGTTGTAGCTCTTACTTACCATACAACTAGTTGATAAAATAACTGAAACACTAACACTAGTCATATTTCTATGTTGATGTAGAACCACTTGACAATGTTAACAATATAGGATAAAATCTTTTTTCTTTTCAGGGACATAACATTTTATGCACTAGTCACGTCGCTAGTCACTCAAGCCTACACTGCTGGACTTACAATTTTGGTGATGCTATGGAATTTAATGCCTCTGGTAGACGGGTTCATTTATTTTATCCGCTTTCTGCTGGATAAATTAATTGACATAGTGCAAACTGATGCCAATAAAGACAGGGCCGTAAAAGCCGCTATACTTTTCGGCGAGCTGACCGTAATAAGTCTTATAATTTTTTTTATTTTCGGACTGATTTTTATGCCTGTTTACGTTTTGGTAGCCAGGCTTTTAAGCAAAATTTTCTCGATGATTGCGTGGTGAATCTGTTTTAACATGTACATATACTTGTATTTAGAACCATTTTAATAAATTCTTATATAACAAAATTTGAGTTATTTATTTCTGTCACTATATAAGGTGTTATTTTTGTAAAATATAGACATCGTTACTTCACTCATGGGGTCAAGTTTACATTTCCAACAATTTGTATCTATTCGCATAAATAAATTACAATTAGTAACAATCAGAATAATACATCATTAACGTCTCTAACAACGCATTGCGCATCTTCAATTTTCAAAAACCTCGAATAAAATTTGGTAACAAGCCAACACATTAGTAAAGGCATAAAAGTAAAAATTATCACGGCGTTATGTTTAAATCTGTTATGAGCAACAGCAAACAATATTGGTATTGTAAAGCCTGCTAGATCAAGGGCCAGGTCATTATTATTCAGTTTATTCAAATGTTCGTTATTTCTTTCTTCATATAATCCCTCCCATATAGCTGCGTTTATCAAACTATGGAGAAATACAATTGGAGGTAGTAGAAGCAAAAATAGCTCATAAGTAGGGGCATAACAAACTAGAAACATGAATGTTGTTGTTATGAAAAAAAGCAATTCACTAGCAAATATTATAGGGTAATTATCAATATTTCTCATCACATTAGATGCGAATTTATTACAAGCAAATACCAAAGTATTCATATAAGCAATAGTTGACCCTATAGCAAAAGAACTAGTGACCTGATAGTTGTAGCTCATAATTTTAGGAAATTCGTTACTAAAAATCAAATAGCTAGAGGCAAATAAAAATTGTATAAGAATAATGTCCCAGTTTTTGCTAAGTTTGGCCTTTTTTAAAGATTCACGGGTTCCATCAGACACCGGTTTTGTTGTAAATGAACTTGTTCGTTCACAATAACTTCTATTACAAAGACAATCCTCATCAATTTTTCCCAATAGAATAATATTGGTCAAAGTTAGCAACGCAGCCAGCATTGTGATAATTCGAAATCCGTGCTTCATGTCAAAAAAAAATCCGCTGATAATCGGCCCTATAATAAACCCAGACCCGCTCAAAACAGTGAAGTTTAATAATTGAAAACTCCCTTTGAGATGCCTATTTTCAGTTTGCTCCTTTTCCTGAAGAAGGTTAAAACAAAAATGTTGAGTTTGGTCGATGGCACTGAATACCAGCCTCATAAATATCAGGGTCCAGTAACTTCGTGTTATTGCCATCATTACTTTAGTGAACATCGTTAGTGTGAGCGAGAAAAAGAGTTTTTGTTTTTTTCCATTACAATGGCCAGTCATTATTGTCTGAAAAAAAAAAACAATAACTATTAATGAATATATGAGAGTTTTTAACTTAAAACAACACATAGCTCGGATTGATGTTAACTGGTTTGTCTAAATTCAAAATTTATTCATATAGAAAGCCCTTAAATTATGTAGGTATATCAAAATCATTGGAAAAATTATTAATTATTAGCGTTAGGTACTTCTTAGTCATCGACACCAGCGCACCGCCAGTGGGTCACCAGGAAACATAAGCATGATTTATATTTTCAAAGTTGCATTTTTTGTATATAGATAAGATAGTTGTTAATTGTTTAATAAAAATCAGTATTAATCCAACAGTGGTTCTTACTATCCAGTCACCAAACTTCTCGGGTGTACTAACCCAACCTACAAACAACAAACTACCAAGTGTTCTGAGTATCCTCCTAAATTCCAATATAGGAATTCACATTGTTATTTCAAAAAGTCTTTTTGTAAAATACCTACTTTATTGCGTATGAATGATACTTATAACTTACTGATATTTGGGGTGCAAAAAAATTCGCAACAAACACTCCAGTCAAGTAATAAGCTACAGTGATATTTGTGCCTCCTAGATTGATTATGGTAGCTTCTGGAAAATACCGATATAATAATCCATAGCTCAAGGAGTCCTAAAAAATATTAAATACTCAAATCTGTAAAAATATGTCTTGGATATTTGCAGTACTCACCAAAGCTGTTATAATTTGTAAATTGCGAATTGAATTCATTACCTTTATGAATATAGGGATATTGAAAACACTGGAATTTGGATTTTAGTATTTTTAAAGAAAAAAGTTTACATTTTGATAAGTATTTTGACTTTGACAAGTAGCTGCTCCAAAATACAATAGTTTTTCTGTAGAGCTTGATACTGATCCAGATTTGAGTCCAAGGTGTTAACATTTTAAAAGTATGAATTTCCAAATGCCTACGACGCACTTTTCCTGTAAGGTTAGTGTTCAGTAGATTGTGGATGGAATTTACTAGTTCCGAGGAGATGATGACAATGTTGTTTGCTTTAAAAATAGATCAAAAAACGCAAGGTAAGAATTTTTATAATCCAGATTCATTATAGAATAATTAAGAATCGTGTATTTCAATTTTTTGCCAAAATAAGTGAATACAAGTTTTTTTTTAATTTTAAATAATATTGTATAATCATTATACTTTTAATAAAAGTAAAATTGCATTGAAGTTCAATAATCGAGGCTTCTATAAATTTGAGATTATCTGTTTTGAAAATTTTGTGTCACTTCATTCATGGGCAGCATATATTCCGTAATCCAATATTACTGATTGTAATTGAGGTAACAGAAGTCAGAATTCTATCACATATGAAAAAAGGAACAAATATGTAGAGTCGAATTGATTGACTATTTTTTGCCAGTTTGACAATTTTCATATTTGGAGATTTCTTTCAATAAATAAAGAACTCTTTGATACAAGAAGGAAAACCTAAAAAAAAAAACTAATAATTACCAAAAACCATAATTACCTCAAAAAAACATTCCTACCTATTTTCTGGTTTGCAAATTCCCAGATGATCTTGAGGTATCTCATAGTATTCCCCTATACCAGGATTACCAGATTTCGGTTCGACCAACAAAACATTGAATTTCATTGCAGTCACTACTGTGGATTTTGTTTCGACAAACGTAATGATACACATTGGCATTTCTTTGGCTATTTTTAAAAATTGCTCGTGCATTTCCTTGAGCTGAGGAGAATCTAAATAAAAGCGAACTCATAAATGCATCAATACAAAATGATTGACTAACTTTCTTTTAACTCTTGCACCTCCACTGAAGGCCACAAAACCAAAGACACTGCATTACTCAAGTTAGCCATTTTTGAACCTGTGTGAGGTGTACTATAAAACACTACACCTTTTGTATTGGAACAAATGTTTTTTAAATCAGGATTTGAACTTTTATTAGCTGAAATAAACAATAATTAAAAAAATTACTACAAAAATAAAACTGTTACCTTTGCAAATGATATTTTTAACTATCAAACCTCCCATTGAATGAGTAATCCATACTATTGGCCTTTTACCGACTTCACATTCAATCAATTTCTGAGCCATCATATCGCTTCTTTCATTTAGGGTTAATTTTTCTTTTTCTAGTGGACATAATGGAGCCCACATTGATAAGCTTGTATCATAATTGATTCCTATTATACGAATATTTTTACAATCGGCCCCTAAAAAGAAACCTATATAGTCCGAAAATATATTTGAGAGAATTTTTGGCTCACCTAACCAGTCTTTTGGCCAACAATAAGTATAGGAACCATCATCAACAGGAAAATTATCAAAATCAAAATCTTTTCCAGGACATGTGAAAGGACCAGGACAATTTTCATTGGAATTTGATGGAATATCGTTCCATACTATTTCATAACCATTTGTTAAAATTTTGTCTTGAATATTTTCCAAAAATTCCTTAGTGGTCTTTTTTGTAGATGGCTGAGCATCTTTCGGAGACAAATCTGTATCAGGCATGAGACTTTCTGTAATAAATTTGATAGTTTGACAAAATAAAATAAGTCACAGGAAAGGTTCAAGGATATCGGGCAAAGGATTTTTAATTATACACAACACATATCCTTACCTTTCCTGTTCAGTGTCTTCTTACCAATAAACCCTAAAGTATTTTGGTTTTTTCTACGTTGCCTCCAAGTGAAAAACACCCCTCCAAGTAAACCGTGTACAAATATAACATCGATATCTTGACATTTTTTTGTCCTATTGAGCGGATGTAAAATATATAAATTACTCGGATATTGAGCAGCGTTATCATCATCTAAATTAGCTAAAGCTCGTGCTGCAGGGATGGAAATACGAATATCAGCATGATTGGCCCAACTTGAAAGAACACCTATCCATCCTTCAAAATAAGAAAGAATTCACAGAAATAAAGATAAGTTCCTCAATGAAAAAAATTACCTGACTTACAAAATGGCTCCAACAAATTCCTATTAAAACTCATATAAGACAAAATTTGGCACAGTTTCACAATCACATTTGCATCATCAGAGTATCGCTTGTAGATTTCCATAAGTAAAGGTAAACCATTTAAGTCTGCAATATCTGCAGAATACTTTTCCACGCTGCAATGATGCAGTAATGATTCTAGGCACAGGGGCAAAACTTCTTTTTCAGATTGGATAAATTTGCTTAATTCTAGTGATGAGGAATCGTGATCTACTATGTGTCCACTATCCTAAGAAAATGTTTAGTAAGTAAAATATTGAGAATTTTGTGATTTGTAGAGAAATGTGTGTGAGTAGGTATACAGCGAGGGGGTGGGGTAACCACTCTCTGCAATCTTGTCACAAAATCGCCTGCAATTCCTAGAAAATGTACGCGATTCTAATTCTGGCGCCAAATACACTTATTTGTGAATTCATTGAATAAAATTAATTGGAAAAAAATACAAATAATTTGCGTTGTAGGAGTATTTTGCAAAATTGCATTAAAAAAAAAGTCCAAATTCATCCTTGTAGCTTTTTACCTTGAAATATCAAGAGAAAGTGTCTAAAATGGGTCTACAATCGCATTTTAACATTTTATGCCATTGTTTTTTCAACTCCTGATTCAAAATTCATACAAAGTGGACTTGAAATATGAAAAAAATTGGAGTTAATAGGCATAAAGATCCTTTTGTAGCAGTAATTTTAATTCAAAATGACTTTTTGATATTATTTCTTGTAAAAGCAAGAGAAAATGTCCAAAATTGCCTTATTAAAAACCATAAAATGGTCTAAATTTGTGTTAAAGTGCTTCTTTTTGGCTTTTCTGTGTTCTTAGGAAATCCCCTGAAATCCTTGAATATCTAGCTAAAAACCCTGAGTGTTTCGACTTCACTCAAGGAAAATATTATTTTCTTTCATTTGGTCAATACAGTGGCAACGTCGAAATTGCATAAGTTCCTGACAGACTGCTAGCAACGCCACCCTCGACAAAGTTTGGGAAAAAAGAGACGAAGGCAGTATGGAGAGAAATGAAAGTGCAACTACGCCCGTTTTCAGTTACTGCGCGTAATAATTCAGCAACTCCCAACCGTTCTTCAATTTTCATACCCTGAGTGGGTTTTATTTTAATTAAATTTGTTGTTAAGTTCAGACCAGGCTTTTTTTCTCATTCCTAAACCTACAGTCCACTTATTTAGCACATTCCACATCAAGTTAAAGGCAACCTCTGCAGAATATTGAATAAATTCTGAACCAGAGAGCTGCCGAAGGTTAACCAGATCAAGTGAACCTACACTAAGTTCTGCAATCTTCTCACATTTTTCTCCTAGTGGTTACCCCGTCGGTATATGAGAATCGGACAAAAATGACAATTTAATTAATATTACCTATCTATTTTTTAATCTCAATTACCTGCTATTAGTCCAAAGTGAGAGCAGACAAAAATAATACAAATTTAAAATTCAAAAAATTAGATAAATAATTAAGTGCATATTTGAGAAAAGTTTCAGAGAACCAGGAGCCTGGAACAATTTTGTAATAAAATTATTTCAGCTCCTAATGTCCATGAATGAGAGTTTTAAATGAAATATTCTCATATCATATTTTCCTATAACAATGGACAGTCTTCTAAAAATAAACGACTTATAAATTTGCCTGTGGAATTTTCTTTCAACATGTCTATTTTGAGAAATATTTTATTCTGGAAATTGCTTTTTTGATTGCTCTTTATCAGTATCCTAGTCTTAAATAGAAACATATTTGAATTGGACTGTCCTAGACAACTTTCATGAGAAATAAAAATAGGTATGTGACCTCAAAGTGAATCATCCTTGAGATATTCAGATATGACATCACATCACTATTAGGTACGTTACTATTGCTAAAAGTAAATGGCAAAATAGAAATCCAAGGACTCCACTAATAAAATAAAACACTGTTTCTACTAACTATGTAGAGCCTGGAGACTGGAAAATCTCAAAATCCTAATCCATTGAAGGTAGTTCTCTCGGTAGTTCTTTTTCAAACAAAAAATTCCAAATAAGCAAAAATACAACTTACATGTTCATAAACAAAAACTTTCGACAAAAAGTACCCCATACAAGGATGACGAGACTTTTCATAAACACCAATCAAAAATTCCCTCATCGCATTTATAAGCTCATCCTTGTTATAGTTATGATACCGATAAGGTGGCCCTAAAAATAGCCTCCTGTCCACATTTGGGGTTCGCGCAAGAGCCACTGCGGTCCGAGGATCAATCATATTGGCAATCAAGGCAAAATGCCAATTGCCCAAGTAGTACATGCTGGCTAAGTTGTTTACAGCTTTAGTTCTGAAATATCAAGATTACTAAAATGTCCTATTTGGGTTTGTTTATTGCTTACCTGAAATATCTATCGCTATCTTTTGCCACAGATAATAGTCTTCTAGCATAAGCGAATTTGAGTGAGTCAAGGATCCATTGAATAACACCAGTTTCTCGGTACTCTAAATACGGTTCGATTTCTATCATGTCATCGTCCAAGGTTTCTTCCTTTGAAATGTAGTGGTCCATAGTTTGTAAAACTGAAGTGTCCAAGGCATTTTCCAAGATGTATTTGGTTCGGTTTACTTGGTAATAGACCCAGCTAGCACTAAAGAATCGAAAGGCTGTTTTCTGAATTAAAACTTAGGGTTTCTATAACTTACCTTGTGCCAATTATTGCCGCACTGAAATATTTTATAAATACCTTGTGTTCTTTCCATAGAGAGTGTAAAAACATTACTTTTTAATAAATTGTTGTTTTTGTTTGGCAAAAATCAAATATTTGTTTATTTACTTTTTACTTACATCAAATTTTAAGGTTAGGTTGTTTTTTTTTTTGAGTCACTCCGCTCTGGCTACTCCTAGAGTAAATTGAAGCGAAAGCGTTCAAATCAAAAAGAACAAAAATGCCTCCTTTGCACAGAATGCGGATTTCTGAAACATGAATACAAAGTAAAATACGCTTTATCGATCCCGAAACGATACAAAACCGAACCCATGAACCACGCATTTTAACAAAAGTGCAACTCTCAAAATTTGCATTGTTCTTCATGGAACGTTATTTTCGTAGCAGTGGTTGTGGAGAAGCAATAGAAAAGGGTTTTTTATTTGTTTTTGCCGAGCCCTCACTTGAAATTATTGGTACGTCACATTGAACCTGGTTTAAAAAAGTTCGAACAGATTCATGGCTTGTTCTTCGTTGACATAAGACTGTGGTTCAAAATCAAGGATGATACTCATAAGGCCTGTGTGTAACAAATCCCCCCTTTCCCCTTGCATTAAACAACCAATTGTGACGTAGGCAGCATGTTTATTCTCACCTTGACGTAGGCTGTTTAAACAGCTGACGACTAAAAGCCTAGTACTCATAACTGCGAAATTCGCACTTTTTTGACATTGCTTCGAAAATTTGACGTTTGATTCACGCATAAAACGTCAATTTGTCAAAGCAATGTCAAAAAAGTGCGAATTTCGCAGTTATGAGTACTAGGCTTGAGGGAGGATTTTCATGCATCCGTTTTTCCGACGAAATATGTCCGTTTAACATTCTATTTTGACATATTTATATACGATTATGTCAGAATAGAATGTTAAACGGACATATTTCGACGGAAAAACGGATGCATGAAAATCTCCCTAAAGCCTAGTACTCATAACTGCGAAATTCGCATTTTTTTGACATTGCGTTGACTATTTGACGTTTTATGCGTGTATCAAACGTCAAATTGTCGAAGCAATGTCAAAAAAATGCGAATTTCGCAGTTATGAGTACTAGGCTTTAGGGAGGATTTTCATGCATCCGTTTTTCCGTCGAAATATGTCCAAAAAGTCTTCTATTTTGACATATTTATATACGATTATGTCAGAATAGAATGTCAAACGGACATATTTCGTCGGAAAAACGGATGCATGAAAATCCTCCCTAAAACCTAGTACTCATAACTGCGAAATTCGCATTTTTTTGACATTGCGTTGAAAATTTGACGTTTTATGCGTGTATCAAACGTCAAATTGTCGAAGCAATGTCAAAAAAATGCAAATTTCGCAGTTATGAGTACTAGGCTTAAGGGAGGATTTTCATGCATCCGTTTTTCCGTCGAAATATGTCCGTAAAGTCTTCTATTTTGACATATTTATATACGATTATGTCAGAATAGAATGTTAAACAGACATATTTCGTCGGAAAAACGGATGCATGAAAATCCTCCCTTTAAGCCTAGTACTCATAACTGCGAAATTCGCATTTTTTTGACATTGCGTTGACAATTTGACGTTTGATACACGCATAAAACGTCAAATTGTCAACGCAATGTCATAAAAATGCGAATTTCGCAGTTATGAGTACTAGGCCAATAGTACTTCCGGATCAACAGATTGACGGATAAACGGATACATGAAAACTTAGACAAGGAAAGAGAGAGGACGCGTAACATCCTTTACCTGCACTAGCAGCTGGTTGTGACTGTTTGTCACCAAATAATGGCGACAATTTTTCATGGTGCCATTATGTGAATTTTACTTCAGACTAACATTTTTGTGATATTCAGTATGGTGGAATCCGCCATATTAGTTTAGGGGGCACACAAAAGCCAAACATAACCTGATTCAATGTTAAACCAAGAATTTTCAATCTATTTTGTGAAGATGCCTTCTATTTGCTGCGTTGTTAGGTGCTCTAGTAGAGCGGAAAGAGATAAAGAAAGGTTTTTCAGGATCCCAGCAGCATTAAGAAATCTAGGGAATCGTCTAAACGAGCTAAAAAAGGAACGACGAAATCTATGGATTAAATGCCTCAAAAGGAGAGATTTAACTGAATCGTTTCTGAAAAATGCTCGTATTTGTTCAAAACATTTTGTTAATGGTAAGTATTATGACTGTCTTGTTAAAATACAAAAACACATTTATATTGAAAAATTGGTTTGTTTCTACAAGTAATATTTACTTTTAATACCTTTTAGGTAGTCCAGCAGAACTTGAATAACCCTTTATATACGCCTTCAACTGCAAGCCTGTGTAGTAACTGTGGGTGTGGGTCAAATATTCGGATAAATCCAAAATTGAAACCTCTGGCAACTCATTGATACTTAGAGTAAACTCATTAGGTAGAAGTTTATAAGGATCTATATTGGCAATTATTTGTATTTTTTGGTCATACCGACATTTCACATCACTTCTACCACAAAAACAACTTAAAACTTATTGAGAGAATTTAAGAACGCAAAAATTCGGAAACACAATCTCAAAGAACGGTGTAAATACTGATCTAGGCTTTGTTTGCCCCCCAGCGGACCTGTCAAAAGTCACGTGACCTGGAATGCCCAATATGCTTTCTAGGTTATGTTATGAAAAAAGCAGACATTTTTTGGTGACAAACTGCTTCATTTTCACCTGTGTTACGAGTCCCCTCTCTTTCCTTGTCTAAGCATGAAAAGTAATCCTTAATTCTTGATCCTTAGCTATTACGTCGGCAATGGTTGCAAACCAATATGGCGGCGATTACCAAAAACGAGGCCGATAAGCACTCGAGTGTGTATTCTCCTTGGTTCAAACGTTCAAACCTTTTATTTTTGCGCGTTCACAAGTGAGGACGTCATCTACAAATTGGTTTAAACCGTAGTTCGAATCATTCGCCTCGCCAGAAAACACCTTTGGTCAAATGTAAAAGCAAGCGAAAACCCCTATGAAAATAAAGAAAAGACGATTAATCATTTAATGAACCCTAACCCCACTTTTGTGACATAAACATTACTTTTTTCCAAAATGTGTTTAAAAATTACGTATTTTTATATATTTCTATCATTTAAAAGGCTAAAATCGCATTGATTTAACTTAATTAAAATTATTCGTTCTAAACTGTTTAACTTTAGTGACCTGACATCACGTTTTTGAACCTAAACAAGAACAAAATCAAACTATCCGGAAACAACTGAGGAAACAACATTTCTAAAATTCACACATCAGTTTAATTTGTACAATATTTCAAATAATTAACATCCGAAATAAGTTTTAATGTGTTTCCGAACTGTACTGTTTCGCTATATTGTTGTTGTTCAAGTTCCATGCCTAAACTAGGAGTAAATGGTGAGTACTTGAGTAAGTAACCAACTTCTTTAAATCCTTGCTTGAATTTGAATCAATAATTTCAGCAATAGGATTTATCATTTGGATCTTCTATTTCTTGGCTTCTTTAGGTAAGTAAGTATGTCGAATGACTTGGAAAATATGGATTTTGTCTTGATTTTCAGACATGTACCTTATTACCTACCTAGCTTATTGTAGATGCTCTTTATTGAAATTTTAGTTTGAAATATGTACCTATATAGGTACAGTGATACAATACAATTGCACACACTATATAAACATCCCTCGTAATATATCAAAATTTTACTTCTCTGCTTTGACACACAGGTAATGTCAAAATCATGTCAGATTGATAAATCAGTGGTGAACATAATAGTTTTAATAAACTGTTAAAGGGAAAAAAAAATTGTACACCACTGCACTAAGTTTGTTTAGAATATTGACTTGATACGAGGGATGTTGAAAGAGTATAGTATGTGCCAATTGCAAGGATTCCCACCACAGAGCATTCGCACTGTACAGGGTGGCCCATTTTCGATGTTTTAATAGGCTATATCGAAAACTAGCAGAGATATCAAAAATCTGGGAGCACATTCTCGAGCTCTTTTTTTGAGAAAATAACAATGGCGAAGACAAATCACGGCTAACTTGATGCATTTAGGAAATACAGGGCACTTTTCAAATTTTGTCCAATTTTAAATGACTCTCTAATTTCCTTATTATTCAAGATATCCAAAAACGAAAAATACTTTCATAGGCAGTTTTTCAAGGAGAATCCAGTGGCACGACCAATTTTTCTCCAGATGCCTCCGATTTTGGAATATTGACCAAAGTTGTGTTTTTTTAAATGGGACACCCCATATATTATTTTTTCATTGAATAGCTCTTTGTGAGCTGATTTCAATGATATAAGGGGTGGTATGAATAAAAACGAAGTATCTGCTACTACTACAAGTATTAGTAGTATTTACTCAAAAACGAAGTAGATACTACATTTCGAAACCAGCAAAAATTAGTAAATGCTTCTTTTTGAAGTAAATACTGCCTAGCATATACTAATACTAGTAGAAGTAGCAAGTACTTCGTTTTTATTCATACCACCCAAGGTTTTATACCTTTACCTTCAATACAAAAACAATCCGTTTTTTCCATAAGAAACAATGAGTTAGAAAGAGATAGTTGAACTATGAATCGGCTACAAATTTCTTAATTATTAATTTAATTTTTCAGTTCAGTTCAGCTAATTTTTTGTTAATTTGAGTTATGAATCGGGGGTGATAAATAGGCAACACATAATTTATTTAATGACTTATCTCTCTCTAGGTCATTGTTTCTTATGGAAAAACGGAAATAATTATTTTTTTCTCCAAAACTATAGAAAGTAAAGGTATAAAACCGCATATCATTGAAATCAGCTCACAAAGAGCTATTCAATGAAAAAATAATACGCGGGGTGTCCCATTTAAAAAAACACAACTTTGATCAATATTCCAAGATTGGAGGCATCTGGAGAAAAATTGGTTATGCTACTGGATTCTCCTTAAAAACTGCCTATAGAAAGTATTTTTCGTTTTTGGATATCTTGAATAATAAGGAAATTAGAGAGTCTTTTAAAATTGGACAAAATTTGAAAAGTGCCCTGTATTTCCTAAATGCATCAAGGGAGCCGTGATTTGTCTTCGCCATTGTTATTTTCTGAAAAAAAGAGCTCGAGAATGTGCTCCCAGATTTTTGATTTCTCTGCTAGTTTTTGATATAGCCTATTAAAACATCGAAAATGGGCCATCCTGTACAGTGAGAATACTCCTTTAACATCCCTCGTATTTAGTGCAGTGGTGTACGTGATAATTTAACCCCTGTCGACCTACTTCCCCTTTAAATCCATGATCGTCCTACTGCCAGAACCTAGGGCTAAGGGAATTGTCTCACCTTGTGCTATCATTTTAATTGCCTCTTGTCTTTTCATCATTGTTGAGCATTTTAGCAAACAAATATTTTTTTCTATGAGTATTGAATAATATGAGTAATATACATACATTTTCTATTGATCAATGTGAATGATTACTCATACAGTGAGTTTTTTTCCATTACTTAATTGTTTTCAACCAATGAGAATATCCTGGTCTCATTACTCATCCACTATTTAAGAGCCAATCAAAAAATTTGACAAGTTAACAACATACTGTGACAACATACTTCAACCTTCCAATCGGTCATTTTGACAGCTGATTTGGACAAGACTTGTGCTAGCCTAACCTCACTTTGTCATCCAGCTGTCAGAATTGTTAATTAATTTTGTTACGAAAATTACATAAAAGCCACATAACTCGTGCTTATTATCTATTAATCATAGAAAAAGTATAGTATTCTACTCGTGGGTAATGGCTATTACTCACTCGGATGATTACACTACTCGCCTGCGGCTCGTAGTGCATCCTTCGTGAGTAATTGCTATCATTACCTGCTCGTTGAATAAAATACTATTTTCCTTTAACACTTTATTAAACTATTATGTTCACCACTGATTTATCAATCTGAGAAGATTTTGACATTACTTGTGTGTCAAAAAGGTGAAATTTGTGACACATTATGGGGGATGTTTTTAAAGTGTGTGCCAATTGCAATGATTTCCACTGTACTTATGTATTTGCCTTAAATAAAGAAGCATAAAAAGTATTAGAGTTGATTTGAACTTTCTAAAATAGGTTTCCTCTTGTTTGAGTAGTCTTTTGATTTCCCCATTATACCAAAAAGGAAATGTTGGACCAATTTGTGTTGACAAAGGAACACACTTAATAAATACAGCATGCATAATATCATAGAACTTACTTAGCAGCTCATTAACACAAGTACATACATAAAGACTCTCCCATTCCTGATTCCTATGGACAACCCTAATGCTATTCAGAAGATTTACTCTACCCCCCATAATAACAACATAATCATTCGTATCAAAATTATACTATGAATAAGGTTAAAATTTATACACATACACTACATTCATTATCAGTCAAATCTTCCAATCAATGCAGGGTGATACTGATCAACAGGTAACAAATGTTCAACACCAATATCTACCTTATCACCCTGTACCCGGGGGCTAACCAGTATTCAGTACTACTCTAGGAGTACATTGTGTATATTTCCCATAATATTAATCTGTACAAAACTTGAAAAGGCTAAAAAACTTTTAAAATCACAAATAAACTCATTGGGTACATCATTTACAAAGTCACGAAGATCAAAATCACCTACAATAATGCAGTCATGATTAACAAGTGCTGTCTCAATACAATCATATAATTTTCTATATGAATTAAGAACGCTACCAGGTATAAAGTATACAAGTACCACATACACAACTGTTCTGTAGTCAAAATTAATTTTTACACACAAATCCTCCAGATCATTATCAAAAATATCACAATCGCAAGGTAGAAGATCATCTTTAACTGCAAGAAGAACACCACCCTCTTGTTTTTTGCTTGTCAGCTCATAGTTTCTGTCTTTAAAATATCGAGCTTGGTTGTAATGCCTCTACAATTTTGATAGGAAATTGCAATTTTGTTCATATCACTTTTGGAGGTGTTTCGTCCTGCAAAAAAAAAAATTGAATGGTTTGAATTATTTGACGGATCCGTTATATCATTATTATACAAAATTGAACTACCATTCATATTACTGTTAAATGTATCTCGGGCTCAGAAGCTCAGAAGGCAACGAAAACATCTCGTTATTTGATTTGGCAGTATTATTTCTACCAGCCAATGATTTGATATAACATTTTTCAATTTATGCGCGACTTTGTTTTTACCACTATATGCAATAAACAAACCAGCCCTATAGAAAAACTCCAAGGATCTAACAACAGCGTTGAAGTGCAGAAACTGTGAACCATTCTGTTTAGAAAAAACTTGATCGTACATCATTTTGTTATGCTCATCCATAAATTCATTTAAAAGTTTGTTGTCGCTCACAGTGGAACCGAAAAAAGAATTATATTAGTATATCTGTTAACAATTCTAAGTTTCCAAATTGTTTCTTTTTCAACCCTAATGCCATTCAGAAGATTTACTCTACCCCCCATGATAATATCATAATCATTTGTATCAAATTTTATTGTCAATTTTAAAATGTCCGATACAAGATCACCCATCAAAAGGCCATTGCTTATTGACACAAATCACTCTTTAATTTCATCACTTCCTGTCTATGGGCTCAATTGTCATATTCCAAAGTCTGTACAGAATTTAACATGTTTGTTTCAGGTCTACAAACCTCTTTTTGACTTCAGTGCGTTCCTCTTTGACTTAATAAATTCTATTTTCCAGTTACCATTTAATTTGCTGCAAATCATTTGCTTTAATATTATAAAAGTCTTCTGAAAACTTCGCTTTTGCATATAATTTTTCAAGTATAAACTGATTGCCCTTAGAAGATTTCTTCTATTTGTTTTGCTAGCAGAAAGTTTAATAAAGTTATCAGTAGTCTAATTTAATGGTAATTGAACAACTTTTTAAATAAATATTGAAATACTTAGGCGTTGTCCCTCGAAACTATCTAAATACTATGAGCTAGTGTTATCAATATGTATTTTTTTATCAACTCCAACTGCAAACAAACGAAAAACAAATAATCTAATCACCATTTATTATTGCATTCTAGTGATTAGTTTATCGACAAATAAAATGAAAGGCCCAGTAGAAGCTAAAAGCACGCGTAAGAAACAGCGGCTGGAAAATAAGCAGAAGAAAATGGCAGCTCTTTTGGATATAGCAAAATTGAACGAAAACGACCGCGAAAAAGGGAAAACCAAGACGTTGAGGGACAGTAGCGAAGATAGCGATGACACTCCAAATAAGAAGATAAAAACCGAAACAGTGTAAGTAGCATAATAAATAATTCTGAATAAATTAGGTACTTTGGTAACAACTAACAAGGGACAGGTAATTTGGGTTAATCTCAATCATGGAATATTTTATGTTAAGTCCTAATGGTAATTTTATGCAAATTTCTAAATTGGGGGCCTGTGCTTTGAGGGTGTTTTAGATTAGCTTTAAAATTTAAATTGTGTTTATTAGCCTGTTAAAATTACCTGCATCAGGTTTTGACATATTTTTCTAGAAATTTGAATAAACAAGTGAACTTAAATCGCAAGTTGGGTATACCTACTTGGATTGTATGTAGGTACAAATCAAGTTATTCAGTTAAAATCTTCCTAGGGCGCATCTTTCATGAGGTTTTTGATTTTCTTGAAGGTTTTATAAAAAATTTCGCAGTTATAATTTGAAACCTGGTTTACACAGTTTATACACTAATTTTCATCTTTCAATTGATTCAAGGATTCAGCTGACATCAGAACTTTTAACAGAAATAAAAACATTTGCAATGCAATAGTATATAGGTTTATGCTATTGCATATTTTCTCGTATGTTTTAAATAATAATTGTGCAACCAGAATTCCATTCCTCGTGACTCTGACTCCAGACTCTAGAGTATTTCTAGCGCTAAACCTACTTTTTTTCAATTCAATAGCCTGTTTTCTGCTTCAGAGGGTTTCAAAGTTGAAATTTGCTTCTGAAAGATATTTAATTCTATGGAATTTCGATAAAATGGGAATTTTGGTCTAGACAATTCTTACACTAGTTCAGAAATAAAGGTTTATTCATATGACCGAGCACTTTTTCTTGAAATTTGTTGACTCCATAGAAAATCCGTCTCTACTAAGGTATAATAATTACCATAAACGATACTTCCTTGAAGTTTTATCTCTATTGAGAAATAATGGTCTTATTTTTTCATGCCAGGTATAAGTTAAATGAGAATCAAATTGAGATTTTTCATATTCATTGAGTTTGCGTTTAAGATTTTGTAATAATTTAAGAGTTTGGAAGTGAGCTTTTAGGTGGTTACTATGTTTTTATAATAAACCGTTAACAAAAAAATGGTCTTTTTCGAAATAGAAGACCAATTATTCCAAAATTGCCAACAATGGTGTACTGTGCGATTGTCTATATTTTGCACCCACACCACACCTATCTTACCTGTTTGAAGAGATACGCAGAAATGTCAAATGTGAAAGTTGTGGGTAATCAGAGCTGGGATCGTAACTTGAAAAAAGTAACGCGTCACTTTACAGTCACTTTTGCTTAAAAATAACTCACTTAAAATTTACAGTTACTTTCGAATAATGATAACTTTATTTTCGTTATTTATTGGAAAGTAACGCGTTACTGTAACTTCTTTTCTTTGAAAGTAACTTCTCTACTTTAGAAGTAGTTTGTTACTCAAAAGTAACTCGTTATTTGAAAGTAACCCGTTACCTCAACGCGCTAGTTTGAAATAAAGCGCTACTTTTAAATGAAGCATTACTTTTAAAGTACCGCGTTACTTCAAAAATAACTATTTACGTCGAAAATTGCGTTATTCTTTACTTTGACTCACCAACACAGCAGTCCAAACAATCAAATAAGACCTATACGAAATGCCAATATGTTTTTAGTTTTTGAGTCCGACTATGTGGAAGAGTTTTGTTGCAAAATTCAAATGGATTAAGGATTAAGCGACTAAATAGAGAACTTGGTTTTGGACAAACCTGCTTTTTGAAGCGTCCCAGTGTCTGCATATAGTGTCTTTAGAGCAGACGCCGCGTGCCACGCCCAAAAACGATTATTTTGAGCTTTCAAAACAAATTTTCTGTACTACCCACATTTTATTTGACATACAAAGTTTTTGGATTACTTATTTTCCTTTTCCTCAATAGTCAATTATTTGTAAAGAAGATAAACAAATTGAGAGAACGCGTTACCTTCATAGTAACTAGTAACGCGTTACTTCCATATAAACGCGTTAGTTTCATAGTAACGCGCTACTTTCATAGTAACGCGTTCCTACAATGAAACAATTTAAAAAAGGAGTTCGGCAGATTTTAGTTGGTAAGGCCTATTATAGTGTGGACGAATTTTATAATGATTTTAATTGACATTTAGCATTCTGCATATTTTGTTTTTTGTATTTTATTTAATTGTTTATATATTGTTAAAACCTAGTCATGTATTTTTGTTTTGTTCAGTATTTTATAATTTACACATTAGGTTTAAGTTTTACAGCTCTATTCACCATTTTGTTTGTTAGTCCTGATTTTTTATTTTTAAATTTTAATTTTGATTATTGATTTTTGAGTTTTGTTTATAATGTATATGCTTTGTCAACAAGACTATTGTCTTATAAGATAATAAAGCCTATTTTGATTTGATTTAACATAATAACGATCTGCAGTTACTTCAGGAAAGTAACGACGTTACAGTTACTTATGAATCAATCTGAAAAGTAACGAAGTTGCCAAGTAACGCGTCACTTTCAGTAACTCGTTAAAGTAAAGTACTTAACTATTTTTTGTCGTTACTCCCAGCTCTGTGGGTAATATCAAAAAGTTTTCAATGATATTAGTTACAAGTATACAGGGTATGTAACAAAAGTGTGGCGAAGCAAAGTTCTACCTTTTTAGATAGAAAGCCCCGAGCCCCGCATATTATTGTCTTATTGGATTAGCCTTTCAAACCTGATTCCAAATATACTAGGTTTTTTAAGTTTATTCCTCATAGTCTAGCCTCTGAATATCCCATTTTGAACAAATAATATGGATTTTTTCCAGGAATGATTACCTTTATATTTTGCTGGTGGTCTCTATACTTCACCTTTTTCAATAAAAATGCAATTATTCTATCCCTTTTTGTCCTATTTTCTCCTGGACTATTAGGAATAAACCTAAAAAACCTAGTATCTTTGGAATCAGGTTTGACAATAATGAGACAATAATATAAAGGATTTTCTATTTAAAAAAGTATAACTTTGCTTCGCTTCACTTTTGTGACACACCCTGTATACTTGTAACTTACGTCATTAAAAACTTTCTGATATTACCTACAACTTTCATATTTGACGTTTCTGGATATTTCTTCAAACAGGTGAGATAAGTAAAAAAGACGTAAATCAAACATGGCGATGATCTTTTGTAATCTTTTTCGTCGATTTACTCCGAAATTTTGACAAGCACCTGATTTGTAAATTGAAACTGTCTGATCCAGTCACGTGCCTGTCAAAATTTCGGAGGAAATCGACAAAAAAGACGATGAAAACGGCCTTTGTAATTTGTAATGTCATGTCGATTTGTCATTTGACCGATGTTCATTTGTTTCTTTGACATTTATTTATCGGTTTCCATATAAATAATGTACGTGTTGTCTAATCGAATCAGTTTTGATCAAGTTTTCTTTTAGGACACCTGTTACCTACATTATACACTTGTGATAAAATTCATTTTTATTTTCAGTTTCAATACTGTAATCGTATATTTAATAATTGTTCATTATTCAGTTCTAAATGTTAAAATTTTCTTAGAAAAACACTGTTTCCTATGGTTGCACATAATTTGCATATTTAAAAGAGATGTTGTTTACCTGTCTATTTTGCATATAATTGTTCCAATTGGGCAGGTAACCTTTTTGATTTACCTTTCTAGAAGCCACATACTTATTTTGAATACTTTTTAATTACCTTTTGGATTGACCTGACTTGTGCATAAAATCTCTTAGCATCCTCACAAATCTATCAGTCAGTGAGCCACTCCAGACACGTTCGATGTGATATAGTAAACAAGTTCCAGTTAGTGTTAAATTTCGTCGTGATTCATAAAAATGGGTTACCTTTACCAGTTATTTTTCGATCCCAGTCAAGATATGTACTGGACCGGTCCAAATCCTTTGTGGGTACCTCCGGTAGCTGAAAACAACTTTGGTGTTGAAAGAATCACTCAACGCGTTGCCCATCGGGTTATCGAAGCAAATCAAGCGCAACAAGGCCAAAGAAATCAAACCGAATCGCGAAAGAATCAAAAGCCCAAATCGCAACGAGCTCCACGGAAAAGTCAAACATCTCAATCGCAACGAGCTTCTCATCGAAATCAAACAGGTCAATCGCAAACGCAACGTGTTTCTCAAAGCAATCAAACATTTGAATCGTCACCAGTAAGGATTGCGAAAAGAAATCCTGTAAGAGGAAAAAGTGATCTATCACAAGCACCAGGAGTTGCTCAAGCAACTGAAACGTCTGAGTGTTCTAGAAATGATACGACAGAGAGGTATGTCAGAATTTCAATAATTTGAGATAAATTTTTAATGTTAACGAAAAATTTGTTTAAAAACCTTTATTTTGCTCTACAGGCATTAAATATAAATGTAACAATATGTCAATTTGGTTATCATGCGACATTTCCATTTTATTCAAAAATGGGAAAAAACAACAGTAATATTGTTAGTGTTTTCGAGTTACTGTAGAACCCGGGTTATCCGAGGTAACGTGGGGGGCTAGCCACCTCGGATAACTGAAAACTCGGATAATCCGAATACATATATGTATACAGGGTATACCATTTAAAACGAAACAGGCTAAATATCTGATGTCACTTTTATTTTTTTTTAAAATCATTCGTATAAGTAATTTGATTGTGTGAGTGTTTGAAACATTTTCAGTACTAACTTAACCCTCTAGCGGGGGTAGGACCAACCCTTACCATTCCAAATGGAACAGGGGTTCGAGTGATACCTGTTTCAAAAGAGCGCTCAATTTTCGTTCAATGACATCAAATAAAAGAGAATTGAACACTCTTTTGAAAGAGGTATCACATGACCCCTTGTTCCATTTGAAATAGTGAGGATTAGTCCCACCCCACCTAGAGGGTTGAAGTTGATATGCTGAAAATTATTGCAAAAGACTTCCCCCTTTGAAAATCAAATTACCTGTACGAGCGATTTTTTGAAAAATAAACGTGGCATCAGATATTTAGCCTGTTTTAAATGGTACACCCTGTATGTATGTACAGGGTGTTTTTTTATATATTGACACCCCACCTACAGCCTTTACCTTTACAGGTAGATGAAAGGTGTAAATACAAAAGTTGTACAGTATTGGCTAAATTTTTAGAATCCATGGTCAGAAACAAAAATTGAATGTCAAAAATGTGAAATTTTGCATGCTTTCAGCTTTTTTTAAATGGGATGCGCAATATTTGGTTCTATATTCTTGAAGAGCACAATTTCCCGATTCAAAAACTATATAGTTTGTCTGTATTTGGTTCAGCCATCTACAACATATTTGGTTCTGAATATTTTAAAAATACTATCAGAGAAACCAAGTACCTCAAATTTTATCTATAGCTTTCATCTATACAGGTAGAATGGTTCACAAAATCAGTAGTAGGATAGTATTTTTACAATTTTTGGAGCCGAATGTATGAGAGATTGCTCAATCAAATATAGATCGGGGCATTATGCTCTTCAAGAATATAGAATAGAATTACAAATAAGTGGATTATTGCGGAATTTATGGGTGGACCTTCGCGGGACGAACGCAGCGAGTTCCGCAGCCATCTACTCACCAATATACTGTTGAACTGTTCAAGTAAGACATTCACCTTAGACGTGTAGTTTTTAAACTAATGAGAATAACTCACATTTGAGTGAGTCAGGTTAGTATCGCAGTTAAACAACATATTGATGAATAGATGGCTGCGGAACTCGCTGCGCTCGTCCCGCAGAGGTCCAACCATAAGTTCCGCAACAATTCACTAGTTTGTACTTGAATAACTTGTCACATTATATTACTAGTTAGGTAAAGTAGCATTACTAATTCTTGTTAATAAGCATATCGACAAAAAGTGGATGATCTTACAAATTCTGACTTTACATAATAAGTTAATGTTCAAGTACAAATAAGCAGATTATTACGGAACTTATGGGTGGACCTCTGTGGGACGAGCACAGCGAGTTCCGTAGCCATCTACTCACCAGTTTACTGTTGAACTATTCAAATAAGACACTTACCTGAAACTTGTAGTTTTTGAACTAATGAGAATAACTCACATTTGAGTGTCAGGTTAGTATCGTAATTAAACAACATATTGATGAATAGATGGCTGCGGAACTCGCTGCGCTCGTCCCGCAGAGGTCCACCCATAAGTTCCGCAACTATGTACTTGAATAACTTGTCACATTATATTACTAGTTTGGTAAAGTAACATTACTAATTCCTGTTAAAAGGCAAATTGACAAAAAGTGGATAATCATACAAATTCTGACTTTATATAATAAGTTATTGATCAAGTAGGGAGTGGTTTTTTTTTATATATATTGACACCCCACCTACAGCCTCCACTTTTACAAGTAGATGAAAGGTGTAAATACAAAAGTTGTACAGTATAAATTTTTAGAATCCATGGTCAGAAGCAAAAATTGAATGTCAGAAATGTGAAATGTTACATGCTTTCAGCTTTTTCAAATGGGATGCCCTATATTTGGTTCTATATTTTTGAAGAGCACAATTTCCCAATTCCACAACTACATAGTTTGTCTGTATTTGGTTGAGGCGTCTCCAACATATTTGGTTCTAAAAATTTTAAAAATACTATCAGAGAAACCAAGTACCTCAAATTTTACCTATAGCTTTCACCTGTACTGGTAGAATGGTTCACAAAATCAGTAGTAGGATAGTATTTTTACAATTTTTGGAGCTGAATATATGCGAGACTGTTCAATCAAATATAGACAAACTATATATTTTTGGAATCGGAGCGTTGTGCTCTTCAAGAATATAGAATGAAATATAGGGCATCCCATTAGAAAAAAGCTGGAAGCATGCAAAATTTCACATTTCTGACAATCAAATTTTGTTTCTGACCATGGTTTCTAAAAATTTAGCTAAAACTGCACAACTTTTGTATTTACACCTTTCTTCTACCTGTAAAGGTAAAGGCTGTAGGTGAGGTGTAAATATATAAAAAAAAACTCTGTATATTCTAGAAACTCGGTTAATACGGAGTATGGATGTGCGTACCTCGGATAATCAGGATTTTTGGGTCTTTTGACTGGCTCGGTTAATTCAGGAGCTCAGATAATTGCGACTCGGATAATCGGGGTTCTACAGTATTGTCCTTGTTTTCATCAGAAAAAGCAAAACATGTCTTGTTTCCAACAGTTTTTTTTTGTGAGAAAAAATATCATCTTTGATTCAATGTTTCTATCTCATTCTTTTTTCCATCTTCCATTTCTATCGTTTTTCCATCTTCTATTTCTATCGTTTTTCATCATTTCTATGCGTCTCCATTTTCCGCATATTTTTGTATTTCTGTTTTTACTTTCTGGATTTTACAAAATAATGCCTTGATAGTTGAGATAGGAAAGCTTCCAGAATCCATTTGGCAGCTGTCCGTTCTAGGTGAAAAGGAGTTGGTGATGATTTCATCAAAACCTTGTAAACTAACATTGGAAAGGCTGTTTCCCATTTCAATCACCTTCTTAAAATTGATGATGAATTTTAATGTAAATCTTTTGTTTCAGTACCCACCAACCAGAAGTTGGGCCGTCCGGAAAGCCGATCCTATCGGGCAAAGATTACCAAGAACTCAAAAAGATGCTGAGAGAAAAAACCTCTAAAATTACAAAGTGCCCAAAATTTTGGCTAAGAGACTTGGGCGAAAATGCTTTACTGAGACACCCTCTAGAAAATCGGTGTCCTCTCTTTTTGTCAGACATCCAACATTTGCTCATGTATTCGCAGCTCGGTGTCCATGCTCCGTATTCGCCTGCAAGATGGTGCAGTTTGGATAAGTACAATCAGTTGGCAAACGTTACAGTGCTGGTTATTGAAAATTTGTCTCTCTATCACTATGAGGCGTACCAAAGTCATTTTCCTTTTTTGAGTTTGAACTTTGAGCATAAGCTCGAAATAATTTCGCCGTTTTCTAATAATAGTGACGTAGTGAAGGAATTGTCTTTGGTGCCTTTATCCTCAACGCAAATGCGAAAGGCTATTACCGAATATGGAAGTCTCGAAGAAGCTGTCAGGAATTCTACAGAAATTGTTGATACAGTAAATCATTTTTTCCCCATTATGCAAGACACGAAAGAGGAAATTTATATCAACAATAGCAATTTACCTGAAACGGACAAATTTTCTAGAATTACTTTGTTATTATCTGGATGGCAAATGGTCGAAGAAAATTTCCCACTTCCCATTAAAGGACTAATGGAAAGAAAATATTCCGACTATGTACTGACAAAGAAAAGTTACAAAAGTGTCACTGCCCATAGTCCAATGATGGGCATCGATTGCGAAATGTGCAAAACCACTACTGGCGATTTGGAACTAACAAGGATCTCAGTCGTAAATGAAAAACACGAAATAATTTACGATACGTTGGTGAAACCGCAAAATAAAATTGTAGATTACCTGACCAGGTATTCGGGAATCAACCCGAAAATGATGAAAAATGTTACAAAACGACTTGCAGATGTTCAGAGGGAGCTCAGTGCCTTGTTACCGAATGACGCTATTCTTGTTGGCCAGTCTTTGTCTAATGATTTGCATGCTGTTAAAATGATGCACCCCTATGTTATTGATACTAGGTAAGTTTTTTTTATTTCTTTAGCAATATACTTGATGTTTACGAGGGGTCAACCACTATGCTTACAAATGTACAATGATTTCCATATTTGGCAAGCACTGATCAATGAATCTCATGTATTTCCATCCCAAGAATTGCGACTGATTGCCAATGATTTCCTTTTTTTCTGGGGATTCTTTTCATTCCCAATTGATTACCTAATTTCCTCGATAATTTCCTACAATCATTCGAGTTTCAACTGATTTTATTATGAAAACAATGTCTAATTGTTGAGCTTCGCATTGATATGACCAAAATAAACAGTATTTTCTCTTATAAAGACACGTTTTAACTGGAAAATTGGCAACTTCTGTATTTGCAATTCTTCCAAAAGTAAGCAACTTTTATTTGCATGGTTGTCCACACCCACAGCGATTTTGCTGTCATACTTTAGGTCTGTTTTCTTAGAAATCATTATCTCGTCCTTCTTCAAGTTCTAAACTCTTCATAGTCTCGGGTTCAATTATTGGGAAACTCGTTGGGATATCAAATTAATTTCAAATTGTCTAACACTCACTTAGTCTTAAAGGCAAATACACAACTGACCTGTAAGCTGTATCGTTTAAAAGGTATGATATGCGATTTCTGGATTAGGATTAGTTGATATTCCCAGGGATACATGATTCTCAGCGATTGCCAATGGATTCCCATGCGATTCCCATGGAGTCCAGGGTACTTATTCTTGAAACAGGAGATCAGCGTTCCCAGGAGAAAAAGTGTCCCGTCTTTCTCAATGATATGCAAATGACAATATAAGTAACAAAGACAGAATACTCGTTCTCCTGGGAACGCTGCTCCCCAGTTTCAAGAATAAGGACCCTGGGAGATTCCTAGGTTATTCCCAAAAAAATGTACAGGGTCCCCATATATTGGCCCCCCCATTACAGGGGTTATGTGAAGAGATATCAAAAAATTGTAAATACAAAAGTTTTGGGGTTTTACCTGAAATTTTTGAATTCGATATCAAAAACTTTTTTTAGAAATGTCAAATTTGACAGATGGTCAGTTTTTTCTTATGGGACACCCTATATATGACTTTAAAGTTGAAAAGAGTCGATTTTCCTGATTTCAAATATATATGGTTTAACTACTTTTAATTGAGCCGTTTTGGAAATATCGGGGTCTAAACTTCAAGAAAATAATACATTGAAACACATAAGCTCTGTTCCAACCGACATGAGAACTGTTTTAGCTAATTGACAAATAAAATGAGCGACTGGAATTCTAGAATGGTTCTAATGTCGGTTGGAACAGAGCTGGATGTGTGGCAATGTATTCTTTTCTTGAAGATTAGACCCCGATATTTCCAAAATGACTCAATTAAAAGTAGTTAAACCATATATATTTGGAATCAGAAAAAATGACTATTTTCAACTATACAGTTATATATAGGGTGTTCGATGAAAAAAAACTGACTATCTGTCAAATTTGACATTTCTAAAAAAACAAAAAAGTTTTTGACATCAGATTCAAAAATTTCAGGTAAAACCCCAAAACTTTTGTATTTACAATTTTTTGATATCACTTCACATAACCCCTGTAGTGGGGGGGGGGGGGGTCAATATATAGGGAAAGACTCTGTACTCTGTATATACAATGATTTCCTTTAGTGGTTTACCCCTCGAATGTTCAAAGTTGATTTCCAATATTTTTGATGTGAACTTTTCTGTCAGTGTATGGTTCATTTAAAGAAATGTGTTGTAAAAGATTCTTAAAATTTCTTCGGAAAACACAAGTGTTTTTACCAAAGCTTCAGCACACTGATTTGACACACTGTCTAGAATTTCTTTGATTTTGAAAATTTATTTTCAAAAATCTTGATTTTTCTGAATGTGTTGTATCTCAAGATTTGACTATAAATGAATTAACCAAGTTTCCGAAATGCCAGATTAAGATTTTGCTTCTCAAATTGCTCTAATCATCACTAATAACAATTTTCCTTTTTCAGTGTAATCTACAACCTATCAGGTGACCGTACCCGTAAAACCAAACTCCAAATCCTAGCTCGCGAGTTCTTGGACATGAAAATTCAAATGGGTACCAGAGGCCATTGCAGTTCTGAAGACAGTTTAGCCTGCTTGAAGTTAGTCCAACTAAAACTCACGAAACACTTATACTACGGTGACGCTGTTATGAACTCTGTCTACACTGAACAAAGAGCTTATCCAGATTTGGGTACGGCAAATTATGCTACTAGTATGCTGAAGCAATGTGTTAAGGCTGGCAATGCAGCGCACGTTGTTGGTGTTGATGATTTAGCTGACAATTATAAGTTTTACTTCGACAAAGATGGTAAAGATAATGGAAAAATTAAATGTACCAAAGCGGATTCGAACAGGGATGTGATAACGCATTTGTGCAATGGCATTCTATTGAATAATCTCAATATTGGACACATAAGGATAGCTGAAGATCAACTGACAAACGACTGCCATAAGGTATTTCAAAAATTAGACAGATGGATCAGTGAAATGCATCATTCGGCAGTGCAACCGTCTTTGTTGTCAGTAATCTTCAGTGGGAATAAAAACGGCGGGAACGGTGTTTGCTGTTTACAGCTTAAGAGAGACTACATATTGTGATGAAACCATAAAGTATATTCTTTGTTAATATACATAATAAAATCCTTACTGCATTGGAAGTAATTGATAAATTTTTATATTATTTTAATGTATTGTTTTTCAATTTTTGATTTTTTTTTTTACTTCACTGGTAGGTATTGATGATAATCTTTTTGTTTATTTGAATTCCAAAGACGAGAAGAAACACAGTACCTACATCAACGAATAAACATTTGTAAAGTTGATATTTGATTTTCACTTCATTGCCATATAGATCCTTTTCCTTATCCAACTCTATGCTGTTTCCAGGTATTTTAAAACTTAATTTCTATTTAGCTCAAATTAAATTCTGTTGCGTTGACCGAGGAGTATGGTCCATTCACTGATTTTTGTGATTCATTGATTCTTTGGGGTTTCTTGAGACAATCTATCTGTGCTTGGGACCCTATAAGAGAGGCTCGATCGTTTAGAATTAACATAATATATTTATCAAATAGTTAGAATAACTGCCCATTCTAAACTATTATACTACTGACCCCTAAGGAAGAGTGAAGGGCTATAAATTTGGCCTTAGGAGAGCGCTTTACCTGCTAATTTATTATTGGTTGCCATTGTTACCTTTATTATGTTAACACAATTGTCAAAATGTCAAAAAATTTAAATTAAAAAGTAAAGAAATCCCAAATAATTTCTTTATTCAAATTTTTTATTGTAAAAGAGTATATTTCCAAAATGAAGAAAAATCCAACTGAAGATCCGAGAAGATCCCGAGATGGAGTTCTGCGTCAAATCGTTAAACTGTTCATGAAATCAAAATTTAATGCACCCGCTGATGGCCAAGTGCAGCGCTTGAGAAGAGGTAGAATTACGAGAAACCCGTTTCTCAATTTCATGAGAGATGTGCGTAAAAGTATCAGAGGTGTGAGCCCCTTAGAATTATCGGTTAAGGGGGCAATAATATGGCGAAGTATGTCGCAACACGAAAAAGAGCCTTATCAGCAAATGGCCAGGCAAGCCCGGAAAATTATCAGAAGACCAAGGATACGTCGTCAAGAGAGTGATGATTTTGAGAGATCGGAAAGACGTGCTAGAGAATACCATACTGAAGCCAAACGCAGAGGAAGTAGAAGACGGAGAAAGCGTAGACGCAGAAGCAGATCAAGAATTCACAGAAGGCATTAACTTTTTTTTTCAAAAAATTTTGTCCAAATTATGGTTGAAATAAAAAGTACTTTTTTTAATGTAAAGTTTTGTATTTTCATTTATTGGCAGCAGGCGTATAGAATAATTGCAAGCTCTATAAGACATTGGACGATGCCCCTAAGATCCAATTTAGCAATACTTGGTACGTGAAGTTAACAAGTTTCTCTAATAAAAACCAACCTTCAAGGTTTTTTGAAAATCTTTCAAAAGTAGGTCAATATCATCGTCTGTTATATCTTCTCGTTCAGGACAAGGCCAGGAATTGCTTGTTCCACTTGTTCCGGGCTTTCCCGTATGATTTAATCTTCTGTCACTTGTTCTACAAATGATACCACTTATCTTGGTTAGTGGGTAATTAGGTATCATTATATATAATATATAATATAATCAACGATTATATTAATAAAGGCAATTTAGCTGATCAATATAATGTGTGCTTTTCTTAGGGCTATAAGAAAAGCTGTTATTACGCCGGTATTTCTCGCTCGGTAGAAACTCATGTCAAAAACTGCAGACCAATTTCATGTGCTCCTCCCTGTTCTATCGAAAGGTTTCAATAAGATGATGGCATTAAAAATAAACGTGTTTGAGATATAGTCAATTTGGTTTTAGAATTGGATGTGAGTCCAGTTGTTGAAGTTTTGGACCTCTTATAGGAAATAATAGACTCGTTTGAGATGTAGGAGTATTTTTATACCTTGTTCTGTAACCTCAGCAATAATATTGAATGTGTCACATCTCTCTTGTTAGATAAATTGAAAGTCTGGATAACTTTGATTCGCTGACAGTTCAGGCTAATGTAGCTGAGATCGATACTATTTCTGATATTTATGAATGACCTGCTTTTCTGCTGTACATCTATGGGCTGCACCAAATGGATCTTCTACAGGCCCAAAGCAGTGGCTCTCTGGACGACCCTGTTGACGTGATCTTTCCAGGTTAGCCTGGAATCAATGATGATTCCTAGATATTTGACCATACCGGATGGAACAAGTCTCGATCCAAAGAGCGTGAGCCATTCCAGGTCCACGTTTCTTCGCTTTGTGAATGGTACTACCTAGGTCTTGTCCAGATTTACCGAAAGCCCGTGATTTTTACACCACCTTTCTACCATGTTAAGAGCACTTTGCATGATCCCTTTAATGGTGCTGGGTACCCTCTACCAGCCACAACGATGACAAGATCGTCTGCATATAGGGCCGTAGCGATATGATTATATCCCTAGGGGGGGAGACTAAGATCCGGCGCCCCCTAAGCGCTGCGAAGGCAATCCAAAGGTGAAGAAAAATTTATTGGTGACCACACCCAAATTTTGCCAATTTTAAGTAAATATGGGTATAATTTCATTCAATGAAAAATTAGATCAAAATGTTGTATCACTAAGGGCGGGTATTATAAAACTATTCTGACTTATAACTCAAAGTTAACTTCTGGAATTGCAATGAGAAGTAACGTCATTTCTGTCATTCCTGAAGTTAACTTTCAGTTATTCTGTCAAAATAGTTTTATAATAGGCAATTTTTCGTGAGGATAACCAAGCACAATCTTTTGCTGGATTATGTGATGTGTCATTTGTGGTATACTCCCTAACCCCCATCAAATTCTGGGATACTCGAGGATCAAGAACACTTAATTTCTTCTGTGAGAACAAACCGAAAATCACCTTTTCTACATTTGAAATTGACGAAAAATTAACTCACTAGCACAGCCTGAATCGCAAGCATTCCATCGAGGTCTGCGGGTGACGTCATCATTATAAGCTGCTGGTAGTGACGTCACACGCAGGCTCAGAATTTGATGGAGCGGGAGTTAGGGGAGTATGACAGAATTGACACATCACCATTATCCAGCATACTCGAGTATGCTTGATTATCCTCGCGAAATATTGCCTAATATTCGCTCTAAAAACCTAACTTATGTATTGAATGCGACTTTATCTATTGCCAATTCGATTTCCTGATTTTCTTAGATAGTTTCAGTTGAAAATAATGAAGTGTATATTGTAGATTTTCAAAATAAAAACACCAAACCTTTTGAATGTTTATTTTGATTCAATGTCTTTGTTTTTTGCACTTTGCCTATTTTGGCGCCCCTTTGCCAGCTGCGCCCTGGGGCCTCATTCTGTAAAGAACGAACCGTTCGATTCGGTAGAATTTCTTCGATTGTGACGTCATTTTCGGTTTGCTAGCGCGGAAGCTATGCCGAAAATGACGTCACAATCGAAGAAATTCTACCGAATCGAACGGTTCATTCTTTACAGAATAAGGCCCCTGGGGGGGAGGCTCCCCCGTCTCCCCCCCTGTTGGCTACGCCCCTGTCTGCATAGCCTTGAGTGTACAAACCTTCCTCATTCAGAGTGCGGAGCAGCCCATCCAGTACTAGGCACCACAGCAGAGGCGACAGTACACCTCCTTGCGGATAGCCTCTAGCTACGGTTGAGCTGATCTTCGCACTACCAGTGAGCTGATGAACTCGCAAAGAAACGGTCAGAGACAGAACTTATCGGGCCAGAGCCGGCTCTAGGGATACCAAAAAGTATGATCAGAAGCCACATCAAAGACTGTATTCGTAAAGAACATCGGCGACACTGGAAAACTTTCGGGCAGAATCATGGTAGTGAATTCATCGACCAACCATGCAGCAAAAGTGCCGCAGAACTGCTACAAATGAGCAGGAACCGGCTGAGAAGAACCCTAACGGGACTCTTGACTGGCCACACACTAGTGAAGGTGCACCTAATTAGGATGAACCTTTACGACGGAGACCTTAATTGCAGACTCTGCAATAAGGAACTCGAGACAGCCAGACACATCCTGGTGAACTGCGAGGCACTGGATCGGAGAAGACACAGCAACCAAACGTTAACCCGGAAACATTAATGGAATACCACCCAGTAAGAGACCTGTACTACCTCGTACAATGCACAAAAATACTGGAGTGGTTGGAATAAACCACACAGGTTAAGTCCAATAAGCCTTCTCAGGCTTCAGTGCTGCATGGAGACAATAAGTCGGACAGGCCTAGAACATGCGGAAAAAAAGTATGCAATCTGAAGTTTGAAGATTTTTACATCTCACGACCAATTTGAAGATGAACAAGACGTTTCGTCATTGCATCACATCAAAAATAAACACTTGCTTTCAATTTTTACAAGGATTAGAAAACTGGAAACGATAACTCCACAGTCGCCAGAACACTTCATTCCTAAGGTTTGCATGTAACTATTGATTATTGAAACGCTTATTGTACCATCTTCCAATGGAAGACTAGTTTTCCCACTCATACAGAAATCGGCTACTTTGCTATATATTGATTGAGATGGGGAGCCTTTACAGGCAGCACGCGTAGACGCGCATGAGGCCCATTGTACTATCCCCCTTTATGTTGCAGTCTTGTCTTACCGTAGGAGCCCGCAACTTTTAAAAAAGGTGGAGACTTGCTGGGTCCTTATTCTTGAAACAGGGGAGCAGCGTTCCCAGGAGAACGACTGTTTCGTCTTTGTTACTTATATTATCATGCCTATCATTGAGAAAGACGGAACACTTGTTATCCTGGGAATGCTGCTACCCTGTTTCAAGAATAAGGACCTTGAAGGGATGCAATGCCAGAAACTTCAGTCCCCCCTAAACAGTACAAGGTCGTCATCCCTACAAAGGACGAGTGGCTAGAGCCTGACCCAGGCTTTCTCAAGCCGATGGGGCTCATCTAGTACACAGACGTACGGATCTCTTAAATAAGGACCGGCCCTTATGCTCGAAACGAGGGAGCAGCGTCTCCAGGGGCCTTATTCTGTAAGGAACGAACTGTTCGATTCGGTAGAATTTCTTTGATTGTGACGTCATTTTTGGTTTGGTTTTCGCGCTACCAAACCGAAAATGACGTCACAATCGAAGAAATTCTACCGAATCGAACAGTTCGTTCCTTACAGAATAAGGCCCCAGGAGAACGAGTGTTCCGTCTTTGTTACTTATATTATCAGCTGCATATCATTGAGAAAGACGGAGCACTCGTTATCCTGGGAACGTGGCTCCCCTGTTTCAAGAATAAGGACCCTGGTGAGAAGGGGGTCCTGTCTGATAGTATCAGTCTCCAGACCCTTGCATGACCCATGCTACATATACCTACTTCATCGCTACATACTAATATCAGAAACTATGAGAAATAAATTGAAAGTTCGAGGTGATAGATGCTGGAGAAAGCGATGAGCCGAAAAGAACGAAGGCGATTGTGAAGTCAAGTTGTTTTCTGCAGTCTTTCCATTCTAATTTTGCACCAGATAAACACAATTTCAGTCAATTTTGTCCACCGTTCACCCCATGTTTATTCATACATGCATTTTCTGTCTTGTGTAAATGAACTTTCAACGACTACACAGTTAAAAGGCAATATCTCCAAATTTCTTCTGTTTTATAGTCATTTATGGATGACTCAATTATCTTATCTTAAATATATAAGCTGATAACGATGATAATAATCAAAATTTAGAGAGATTCTTGGGAGCTCTGTAGGTCTCTCCTGGTAATGGAGCAAAACTCGCCGATAGTAGAGCAAAATGGAGCAAAACTCGGAGAACAAAATGAGTACGATCAAATTTCAGAATTTTCACTGGGGGGGGGGGGGGGGGGGCTGGGACAGATTCTTGGGAGCTTTGTAGGTCTCTCCTGGTAATGGAGCAAAACTCGCCGATAGTGGAGCAAAACTCGGAGAACCAAATGAGCACGATCAAATTCAAGAATTTTCACTGGGGGGGGGGGGGGGGGGCTGGGAGAGATTCTTGGGAGCTCTGTAGGTCTCTCCTGGTAATAATGAAGCAAAACTCGCCGATAGTGGAGCAAAATGGAGCAAAATTCGGAGAACAAAATGAGCATGATCAAATTTCTGAATTTTCACTGGGGGTGGCTAGCGTTAATTCAGCCCCCCACCTAATAGGCCACATAGCCTCTCCACTGTAATGGAGCAAAAATCGAAATTAGTGGAGCAAAATGGAGCAAAATGAGAGCAAAATTATGGGATAATTTTCATCCAGAAATTTCCTATGGGGGT